ATCTATGAGTTAAGTAGACCAGAAGATCACCAGCTGATCGACTCCGACGAAAACCGTATTGGTGGTCACTAATCAGCTGGTGATCCTCATGGTACCGCATGAGGTGGCAGTTTATAACGGATTCCATTATTATTATTAAGAATAGAAGGCGATTTGATTGAGCAAGTTGATGAGTTTGTATATTTGGGATGTTTATTTAGCAGGGATAGTAGATATGATAAGGATATAGAACGGGTGAACGCAGGAAATATAGTGAATGGGGCTTTAAACGCTATTATAGGAAGTCAGAATGTGTCAAAAAAGTCACGTATGGCAATTCATAATGCTGTGTTAGTCCATACTTTAATGTATGGTAGTGAAAGTTGGGTCTGGCAGAAGAAGCATGAGAGTAGAATAAATGCTGTAGAAATGCGGTCATTAAGGAGTATGCTAGGGCTGAATCTGAATGACAGGATGAGAAATAGTGTGATAAGAGAAAAGTGTGGTTTGCAAGATGACGTTATGACCAGGATTAAGAAAGGAATGCTTCGGTGGTTTGGTCATGTAGAAAGAATGAACGAGGAAAGAGTGACTAAGCAAATTTGTGTTGCAGAAGTAAACGGCAGACGCCCTAGACGAAGGTTTATCGACTAAATTGGCGATATATTAAAAATGGGCCAGATTAGGAGTACCCTTAACTGACGAGCATGTATGCGTAGATATATGGATGTAAAGGAGGCGAGAGAGGTGTGTCAGGATCGTGCCAAATGAAAGTCCGTAGTCTCTGCCTACCCCTCTGGGTGACAGGCGTGAGTGTTTATGTATGTATGTCTTCCATTAACACCGTTTAGTGGGTTTTGGAGGAATGTATGGCTTTAGAGATATTCTCATACATTTTCTATACCTCCTCATCGGGACGTGCCGAGGTTGGTGCGTAAACCTCCATGACTTTCAACGAATACCGTATAGTGATTCTGAGTATAAGGTACGCAACCCTCGCAAACACATTCACAAACTTTACAACGCTGTTAACGAGAGACTTGTGGACGATAAATCCGACACCTTCTTGGGTCGCCCTCCCGGTGATAGAACAAGTTGCCGGATTTGAGGATTATCGTGTCCTCCCCCTCTCTTCGGACCTCGGTTAATCCTATAATATGCCAGCGTAACCTGTCTATCTCTCCTCAGTCCTCAGGGTGCGTGCGTTCTATGTTGTCAGGTCGAGTCTTCTTAGGTAGCAACCGAACCTCCACCGGAGATTCTTAGCACCCCTGCCCCGCCGTTACCATGGTCGCCACCGTAGCCATTAATAGCAGGGCCGCCGCGGACTGGGGGCCGTCTCTTCGTAACTTTCATCATTGAGGGGATATTTGCTATAGTTGCCACGCTTTGCGAGCGCGGGTTGGTAACCGCAGTTTTTTATTGTAATATTTCTGTTATGAGGAAGATGCTGCTGTCCATCTCCTGCCTGTTTCCCTCTATCGCCTCTTGCGACACCCATGGGAAGATATGGGGTAGTGGATATTCTTAACCGGCACTACACGGCAAATAAATTGTGCCAACGTGTAATTGTGTCGTGAGAGGCGACAGAGGGAAATGAAACACGAGATGGGCAGCAACATCCTCCTAATAACGGGTAATAATGCGGTTGCCAACCCGCGTGCCATGGCAAGCATTCCTCCTATGAGGTAACTTATGGGCGTGCCTATGTTTAGCAGTATACTTAGGTATGGTATACTTAGGTATATCTTAGGACAGGCTGTAATGCATGAATAAATAAGTACGAGTACAAGTAGGGATGGGCATGGGAAAAATATATCGATATATATCGAATCAATATTTTTAAACAGTATATCTATATATATCGCGTGATAAATATCGATATATCGATACATCGGCATCAATAGCATAATATAAGGATAACGCCAGAAATTTAACATTGCTGACGGTTGGACGACGAAAAAAATATATATCGAAATTGATACGCATTCAATACTCTAAAATAATTATGGATATATCGCGATTAAAAATATCGATTTTTTTGCCCAAGCCTAGTCACGAGTCATGCCAAAATCAGTTTTCGGGTTTTTCTGTCAAGAAATTCTCATTAGTAGCTTCGGGTCAGGAAGTTGGCGGTGTTTTACCTCCGTGCTTTAGAAAGCCGTTGGTTCTACGACTTATCTCTCTCTGGTCCTTTAGGTTTACTATCCCATTGGACTATGTGAGGGAATAGGAAGTGCACCTGTGATTGCGTATATGTATACTCATGCACTATAATCCTGCCCCGCCCCCTTAGTATAGCCCCCACGACAATACGTATATATTAGTGTTAAGGTAGAATAACATATAAACATAAACACTCACGCCTGTCACCCAGAGGGGTAGGCAGAGACTATGAACTTCCATTTGGCCCGATCCTGACACACCTCTCTCGCTTCCTTCACATCCATATACCTACGCATACAGGCTCGTCGGTTAAAGGTACTCTTGATTTGGTCCCATTTTCAATATATCGCCAACTTGGTCGATAAACTTTGGCCTAGAGCGTCACTTCCCGACTCTGCCGTTCACCTCTGCAACATAAATTTGCTTTGTCACTCTTTCCTCATTCATTCTTTCTACATGACCAAACCACCGAAGCATTCCTTTCTTAATCCTAGTCACAACATCACCTTGCAAACCACACTCTTCTTTTATCACACAATTTCTCACTCAGTTATTTACATTCATCCCTAACATACTCCTTAATGACCGCATTTCTACAGCATTTATTCTACTCTCGTGCTTCTTCTGCCACACCCAACTTTCACTACCATACATTAAAGTAGGTAGGTAGAATAAGTATTAGTCTAATTAAAGTTATAGAAGCATCCATACGTCTCTCCTTTTCATATAACACCTTTCCAATATTACAGGCCAGTACTCGATCCAATATTTCGATAAGGGCGGCCAGTCTCTGGCTGGCTGACTGGCCGCCGTTATCGAAATTCAGCTACTGCAGCCTATTGACAATAACAAACCTAAACAAAGGTCAGAGATACGTTGTTACTTCCATTGACTAAGAATAAATGCCCAATAGCCAGTACATAACTATATTCATTCATTTGACTCTGTCGATATATATGTACTACGCACTAGATTTCAAATTCCGAACATTGACTATGTTCAACTGAACTGTAGGTACTGCAATCCGTACACTAAACTAAATATTGCGTAAATTGGAGATTTGTAAATTCCATAAGATAATTATTATTACATTTTATTTCGAAATATGTTTGTTTAGATTAAAATAAGAGTATTTTATATTAAATTCGCGCGCTTGTACATACGCGGGAGATAGTAGAGTCGCGCATACGCGAAGACATAGAGTAGCGCATAATTTATGTTTGGTGTTTAGGCCAAATAATTAACATTTGAAATTTGCATTCAACACTCGTGTTTTTCCGCTGACTTTATAAAGGTCACCGTCGCCCCTCTCCCATGTGGTCGCTCGGCAGAGGGCGCGAGTGCCGGACGCGAGTGCGAAGTCAGTAGCTTGACAGCAGCGGTTCGGTCGATTAGCGTATTTTGGTGACCGCTGCATCGATTTCGCGCGACCAGTTTTTTGGTTTTGTGGTCTAGAATATGAGTCTTTGTGCGCGTTTAATTTACTATTGAATTCGGGTTTCGTGTAGACCGCCTCAAATTAGTTTGTCTAAGTTGTACGTTTCGTGACAAGAGGCTAGTAATGAATTTGAGTGATTAAAGTAATTTCGTTTGTAAGTAATTACGTTAATTGTATAGTGATTGCATGTTGAAGTGCATTTTGCAATATTTAACTTGCTTGTGTGACGTGGAACCTTGCGCGCACGACGAGTGGACATACGGTCTGGAATTTGATGCTCGCATTCCATTTCGAGGGCGTGGCCCGGTTAATTGTTTTTGGAAGTCATTGTTTAGTTGTACCGTCGCGTTAAGAGCTTTTTGTGTTTTGACCCTGTAGTTAGTTTGCGTGTCAGCTAGGCTGATTTTGAATTCTTATTGCGGCGTAGTATTTAATATCGTACGAAGGAATTTAGTTAGTTGTTTGGTAACGCTGAACTTTGAGACTCGAGAAGAGGCCGCGTTCGATCCCGTGTTTGTAAATTTGTACTACCTGAACCCGGAACCTTGAATATTGAGCTTTGAACGACTGTTCGTTATTTGTGTCGGGTGTCACGTGTTTGATTTCGATGAACGTTGAATTGGTTGAATTGAAGTTAATTATGTGTGCAATAGAGTTGATAGACTGAAATAGTGAAATGAAGGCAGAAATTTTCCATGGGTGATCCACGACTGGAGGAAGCGCGCATTGGGAGAACATCAGCTCCGGTGGATTTTCTGTCCGATTAAATCGGGCCGTCAGGTCACATATATAAACACTACTACACATCACTTAAATGCACCTACACCTACCTACCGCCTGACTGAGCTTTGGGGCAGTCTTAGCTTCGGAACCAGATACGTACTATTTGTTTACCTAGCCTTATATCTATTGTGTAGAATAATAAGTCCCCATAGGCCGTCGGGCCCCACCCTTAGTTGTCCGTCGAATCTACAGCTGTATGGGCCCCTGTATGGTCGACCTATGTCAGGGCAGCTAGGGACGTGTACATTTGGAATGGCTTCTATAGTACGTAGTACATATAACTCAATGTTTGACTCCCTTTAAACCAGCAAAGGACAATTGGTGCAATGCTAGTTGGTGGTAGTACATAAAAGGGTAGTACAATCCATGTTCTCTGTCTTTCTAGAATGCGAGTTAGCTAGAGACGTCCCCCCAAGTTAACCTATTAGCATCAGACTCAGATAGACTATTGGCATGACGTCATTTGACAAGTGCACGAATAAAAGTAAGTTGGAGACTTACTTATGAACTAGGCAAAAACCTTACTACCAGTAAAAAGGCTGAAAAAATCTAGTCTTTTGAAGAAGAGGTAGTTTACTGAGTAACATAAAAATGTAAAAATAGTATGTTTGAAATAAAAAAAAATGCCACGTACTTGTCTCAAATCTATGAGGAATGCTGACATATGCGCGGCTACGCATTCGGTGGACTGTATCCTGGAGTAAATGTGGCTCACTATACCGATCTCGGCTGACTCTGCCGGTACGAAGCTGCCAATGTGAGCCAGGTATACGATCAGACCTGTAGATTTTATACGCTATATGAGTATAAACCTTTTATGAAAAAATTTCTTTACGAAGAAAAAACATGCGTGAGTTTCGTCGAAAACTCGGTTGGAACGATGTTCCTTTCGTAGTATATTGATAAACGTATTATATTATTGATTAACCAATACAAATAAATGGACTACTAGCGTCTATTAAAATGAAACGTTATTTAAAATAATATTTCTTTCATGGCAAGATAAGAAAACGTGCGAGAGAGATAGATATTATTCCATCTCGCTTGCACTATAGACAGGGAGTCGTGACGGAAATATCTTACACTTTTTCTCGGCAAGCTTCCATCCGCCAAATTCGTACCGTGCGATAAGGAACTTCGTTCCGTCGTGCTAAAAGTTATTCTCTCTTCGAGAGATCCATACCTCGCAGTAGCCTGTTTAAGGGCGAAAGAAAATGGAAATATAAAATATTTATCGAGTTGGTCCTTCAAACCGGATAAATATGAATTTATATATTACAATGGCGACAAATTCCTAATTCATAATATTACCGCTATTAATGACATTTGCAAAATTTGGTTTACTATTAAGAGAAGAAAGAAACAAAATATGCTCGGATCCTATGTTTGAAAAAAATTTACTTTAATTTTTGACATTATTACAATTGTTATATTATGTCCTCGCAAGTTGTTGGATGAATTATGCCAGGTTTCTATATTTAAAAACGCTCCGTTTTCTATTACGAGCCATTTTGCAGTAAATAAAGTACATGTAAATTCTTTTTTTAAATAAATACCAGTTCAACTATTTATCATTTTAAGTCATCGTAAGTTATTGAATGAACTGTTTTTAGGTACATGCACCTCGTGTGTAACGAAATCGTTATCGTATCGGATCGTTACGAACAATGAAATATTTTATGAATAAAGAAATCTGGCATTAGTTATTATAAAAGAGTACATGCACTTGATACATAAAAAAAGAGATATTGACAAAGTTTCTTAAGTATAGGAATCTGGTGTTAAAGATCCATTACCTGTTTGTTTCAAATATACTGATTTCCCCGCGGAGTTAGGCGCCGTCAGGATCTTGACGAAGCTCGCATCACGGCTGCTCTCCGCGTCGTTGGGTACAAAGTTGTCGCAGGTCGTTATATACAGTGGGTGCTTGCCCTGTTTCACTTTGATCACTTTCTCAGTTGTGAGGGTAGGTCGAACAAAGTTTAATTCTTTGCACACTTTTGCAATTGCTATAAGGCTGCGAATGGGGTTTCATTTTAAATATTTTATTCATAATTATTGTTTAATAATTATTACAAATGACGCTCATAAGCATGTAAAAGGAGAAGAAATAAAACAAATTGTATAAGTGTACCGTAGAGCCGCAAGATTTACTACCCCAAATCATCCTGCATGTGCTATTTTCTCGCTCTAATAGTGCGGACAGACACGACCGGAGGGAGATCAGGCGGAGACCCAAGGGCTTTACGTGCTCCCCGAGGTACTGGGGTGAAACTTCCAAACTCTGGGCTACTACTGAAAATTTATTGTCAGAAAAATCCAATAACTGAGCTTGGCCCGACCCGGGATTCAAACCCGGAATCTCATGATTAGCAATCGTGTTTACGATCACTAGACCAACGAGGTAGTCATGTTAGTATTACCCTTACCAATCAAGCTCGGCGCACTTGTCTATCACGGAAGCGAGTGTGTGCAGATTCTCCAACACTACAGCCGTCAACCGCATCATGATCCTGGTCTCGTGAGCGACTATCTCAGGGTACGTGTCGCCTATCATCATATCCAGTTCTGGGATTGCAAAGATATCAAGAATATATTTGGCTCTTTGTTTACTACAAATAGGATATAGAAAAAGTGAAATTTTTAAAAAGTATGTGTTTTTTTAATATACCACTATTTTTTGGATTCGATTCTGAGCTCTGTTCAAAATTTGAAGTCTCTAGCTCTAAGTCCATTTACTTTAACAATTTGATTTCCCAAAAAGAATTTCAAGCTTTTTGGAAAATACATAGCCTAAATCATTCTACATGTTCGTTAAGTTTCATTAAAATCGCTTTAGCCATTCTGAAGATAAGCCCAGACGGACAGACAAATTTTTGACAATGGTTATACATGGCTTAACACATATTAATATATTTTTAAACGGTTAACTCACCTTCGCAGCCTTTGCTCTTATAGTGAATGTAGTCATTATTTTGGAACTGAAAATAATAATTTTGTATATAATTTTTAAATGTATAAGTACGATTTTAGTCCAATATCCAGAACGAAACAAAAATATAAAATCATGGCGACTAAAAGTCAATAAGATATATATTGTAATATTAGAATTTAGTGGTGTGAACAATTAAAAGTTTGTGTAGAAAACTCATCGCAATGTAAAATCCGTAAAAATAGTTTTATTCAAACAATTTTTACGCAGTTTAAATTTTAAGTAATAAAATAAAATAGATAGCTTTTTTCAATGTGTAGTGTTCGCGTAAATACAAGAAATCACTATCACAAATCACAATGTGTCAAAATTACTTCGATAGTAGATATCTGAACCTTTATATAAATTCAAACAAGTTCTCATAAAAGCCATTATTTTCTTCCTTTTCAATAACAGAATTGTCTACTTGCTGATGAGCTTAAATTAATAAATAATAAGCTCCTAGTGCTTTGTAGTTTAAAAGCTCCGAAATGCTACAATTTACATTAGAATGTAGGTACGATAGAACAAGATATTTACTTATAAGCAACAAGTTTAAATTAAAATAGATTCACTTCTCTCGGCTAACCATAAATTTCATATTTGGCAGTTCCTTCTGTTGCATGGTCAAGTTATCAGCCCAGGCCTTCACACCGAGTAAGTAGCCGAGGTGCGGCATGTACAGCATGGTGCACTCCTCTATGAAGGCCGGCAGTCGATCCAACTCTACTTTAGCGGTTTCCGACATAAGTCCGTGAAGGCTTGCCATCGTTTGTTTCTCTTTAATACAAATGAACAAAGAAAAAAAGAAAGAAAATTTTAATTGACATCACAAAGAAAAAAAATATAACACGATATAAAGAATTAAAAAAATACCAGAAAATTTGTGTGAAGTCAAATTAGGTCCCTATTTCAGCTAACAGCTGCTGTACTAAATGACAGCAGCGCTGATTTTCAAAAAAGCCCAATGTGGACTTCACGGACGAACATACATTACCAATGATTACCAAAGAAATATCAATTTATTTTTACCTATCGTCATTGCGACTTCAAGACCTCTTATGTGTAAAATCAATTTTATGAGAAAATCGATAAAAACCGTCTACCGAAAAAAATATAAAGAAACAAACTACAACAAAAAATATAGATAAGAGCCACATGATTTTCTGCTTTTTACTTTACTAATGTTAGTTGAAATTAAAAGTTTTTTTTTTTTATAGAATAAGGGTGACAAACGAGCACACAGTCCACGCGATGGTAAGCGGTTGCTGTGACCCATAGACATTTACATCTATCTTCGTTTGTGAATTAAAATGCAGATGCGTTGTCACCCGTGTGGACTAAGATAGAATGCCTCTTATCCAGTAAAAAGGGTCTCCGGTTCTCTACACTCACCATACGAAACACAGCAGCATTAAGCTGCTATTTTACGCTGGTATTCTGTGAGAGCGTGGTCCTTCCCCGGTCGAGCCGACCCATTCGTGCTACAACTATACTACTAATATAGCTGCAGCATGGCTCTACCACGTAAAAAAGTGGTGTCATAGTAAAAAAAAAAATTGTTAACTCAAGACATTTTGGTAGCGCTTTATGTATCACATCAGAGCTTTTGAACAAAAATGCCTATAATAATTCAAATAAAAAATTATTAACTTTATTTAAATAATTTATATTTCTCAGGAAACACTAATCAGGATATGATAACAGGTGAACCAAAAGTTAGAATAAAATAAAAATTACAAATAATTACCACTATTTTCTGAGGTATACCTATATTAATAATATATATTATATATATATATATATATATATATATATATATACATATGTAATTATGCATCAAGTAACCGGATTAAATTGTAATACATTGCAAAAGGGATGGAAATCCTGATCTATTACCATTTTCAGTTCCTGTAAATGTTTAAACTTGTTCCCAGTAATTATGAATGGAGATTTGAACAATCGATTTGGAGATAGCAGACCGTTTCTTTGATTATTTCTTTGCTGTGGAAGTACAGCCCACTCATTGATATGTCTTAACCTATAAAATATTGAGCCATTAAATAAATATTTAAGGCTTCTAATGTCCACCACGACAGAATCTCCCTTCTTTTTGCCAGGCTGTATGGATTTTAGGTTCGATTCCATCTCTTCAAAATTTAGAAAGAAATCGTGATGAATGGATTTGACGCTTCAAAATGTTAAAAACACTGGCGTACAAAAGTGATTTTGTCAAAAGTGACACATAAGAGGTCTTAAAGTCGCAACGACGCTATGTTCTATTTGTTTGTACTCACTCAGGTCCAGGTCAGGATCGACTCCCGCTTTCACGGTAAACTTTCCTTCAGACTTGGAGAGGTCGAAGTCAATAATTCTATTCATACATAGTGCCATCTGAAAGACAACAAATAAACTTAATCATTTTAACTGTATGTTTATAATTGAGTAATAACTTCTAATGTTTTCTAACGATTTTTTAAAAAAAAAAAAAGAAAAGAAAGAAAAGTGTTAGTACTGTTTGAAAACTAAAATTGATGTTTGTTTGTAATGTCAAAATAACATCTTTTTACTAAAAATATATGAAAGTATATTTGGTACTAGTAACAAAAAAATTTTTTGTCTGTCTGTCGATCAGTCTGTCTATTTGTTCCACTTAATCTCCGAAATGGCTGGACTGATTTTGACGGGATTTTCACTGGCAGATAGCTGTTGTCATAAAGAGTAACAATGGCTTCTTTTATTTTAGGATAAACATATAGGATTCCGTCGAAATAAATTAAAACTCATGAAATCCAACCGTAATAAATCCCACGCGGTTGAAGTCGTGGAGAACAGCTAGTATAAAATAGAAAGAGAAACGAGGAAGGGCTTCTTTTGCCTAGGGAGTCTTGGTTTGTATTACTAGTTTTAAAGATGTTAAAAATCAATTAGTTAAGATCCGCGTAATAAAATAAAATGATGTGTTTTACCTAGTTTGAAGAGCACCTCCCGCCCTCCCCCTTTTGCGTGCACTATTCCCGTTACCAATAATCCCAGCACTACTACTCCCAACACCACTACATTAGGAAAGGCAAGCACCGTCGATAATACGACACGTATTTCACTTCTAAACAAGACATCCTCAGGTAAAGTAGACTATAATTTACCTGAGGATGTCTTGTTTTGTTCTTGATTGACTGATGATTCTGCTACATCAAGAATAGCAAAAAGGATTACAAGCAGCAAAATGAAATTAAAAAATATATAAAAATAAATAAATATATTAGGAAAGTGCAAAAAGTAGTTAAAACTAAAATGGATACTAAAAATTATACAAATGTATGTAAGGAAAAGCAAGAGTTAATTAGTAAACTTAAATTATATTCAATAGAGGTGCAAAATATGAAAATTGTTATGAGACTGAAATAGTGTTTCAATTCAGAATTCAGAAATTTTATCACTTTAAACCTCATTACAAATTATACGCACAAAAAACAGGACATTGAGAAAATTGTGTTTGTTCCGATTAATGCAAAACGCCTGGAGAGATTTAAAAGTAATATGATAAAAAACCTTCCATCGCTTTCCTACAAGAACAATTCAGACTGTTTATATGGAGTATTATTTACCCTTTTATGCAATGAATTTAATAAAACATTTACTTCTAAAACATTCTCCAGTAACAATCGCAAAGCATTTCATGAATGGGCGACAGTAGGAAATCATAAGAGCAGATGAAGATTATATGAACTTTACCATGAAAGGTCATATAATCTTTCCGATACTTTTAGAGACTATGTCAAACATTATTCTAAATTGTTTGAAAGAGTGTGCTCCACAGCCAAATCTTTACATATTAGCAACAAAATTGAGACCGCTAAAAATAAAATTTAAATGACGGAGTAGAATTAATAGCGAAATCGGTAAAGATAAACCTCGTAACACAAATTATCAATTGATAATTAATGATGAATTGACTAGATCAAATCAAAGACGTATTAAAAAAGATAGACAGGTTACACACTAACATTATTGTATTTTAAAGTGGCGCAAGTAGTACTGTATCTACGTACAGTTATTTATTATGACACGTTGCGCTAACAAAAAGAGACAAATGATAGGGCATACCTATCATTAGAAAAAGATGAATATACATCATTAGTTGCGTATTGATTACTGCCGAGCGCTCATTGGCGCGAGCGCGTGACATACTGATATGGAAAATGAACACACTAGCTAGCGTCAAAGTTTACACTAGCGGTTAGTGTTGAAATAATAAAACAAATTATGAATAAAACATCTATATTCAAAATATTAATGAGACGTTTTTCTTGACTCTAACAGTTGCCGTGTAATTTGTGCACCATCTAAAAACACAGGAAGGCATTTTTGCCACGAATAACTAGAAGATTTACGCGCTATTGCGAAGGTATAGCCGCGACGCAAGAGCGTGCCCGACTGAATCCGAGTCGGGCAATTACCTGACTTTTGTATTGCCATTTTAGAGCGAGTATGACGTATCTATATTTAAAAACATCTTAGGATCAAATCAAGAAGTTGCAGCGGTGTTTGAGAAATATTTAACTGATATATCTATTTTGACAACAAAGTAATTGAATACTTCTCCAACTGTCGCCGATTCATTACTCAAATAGAATGTTACGAGTAATACCTGTTTAAAAGAATTTAGATTTGAAAAAGTATTACCACAAGATATTGTAAAATATTTCAAAAACCTTGATGAAAAGAAAACCGCAGATTTATGGGGCATTTCCGTTACAGTTATTGCGCCCACAATATATTAAATTGCACCTCATCTAGCTATTATTTTTAATAATAGTATCGAATCTGGTGTGTTGCCTGATTTAATGAAACATAGTAAAGTAATAACCTTTAATTAAATCTGGTAGTACATTGGACCCCGCTAATTTTAGACCTATTTCTGTACTACCAACTCTCAGTAAAATGTTTGAAAAGATAATTTTAGATTAATTGCTCATTTTTTTTAATAAAAATAAATTACTCCATAAAATCAATTTGGTTTCACAAGGGGTTGCTCGACGACTGACGCAGGTGTCGAGCTTATGAAATGTATTTTTAAATGCCTGGGAGAGTTCACAAGATACCTTAGGTATTTTTTTGTGATCTTTCCAAGACTTTCGATTGTGTTGATCATGAGATATTAATCAGGAAAATACAACATTACGGTGTCAAAAATATTGCACTTAGACTTATTATTTTATATTTAAATAACAGAACTCAAAAAGTCGTTATCAACGGCAAAGGTTCCTCCGGGTCAGTACTAGTATTAATGGGTGTTCCTCAGGGCTCGATTCTTGGCCCATTCCTGTTCTTAGCCTCGCCGCGTGCGGCGTACACCTGCAGGAAAATTTGGCACTTTAAAACGAAGCGCCGTAGTGAAAGGTTCTTTGCTACCTAACTTGTGTTTATTATTTATATTCGTATTTTATTACAATAACCATAAGAATAAAATAAACAAATTTTGTTCATAGATTAAAACATTTATTTAACTACATAACACATTAACAAATAATAAAATAAAAGCAAAATAATAAATGCGCCTCCAAGACGGTGTACCGACTACCGACACTATCTTAGCGAACAGACTATAGACTCTGCAGTGTTAAATGCGAATATCTAAAAAATCGTTCATCATCATCTGATAAGTCTTTAAATAAAGTATATTCCCTTCATATTCTCCATACAATTGCCATTTTAAATTAATATTATGAATCCAGAATCTTCTTTTTCTTCGAATTTTTTTCTCCTTCCTCTGCCAATAAGCAGGCTATTTTATTCTTCTCTCTATTTCTTTCCATAGTGATTTCAAGCGATCAATTTCAATGTACCGTTTCACACCAGTGGTTGGAAAAAACTACAAAAGTTGTTGTTAATACAAAAGATTTGCCTACAGTGCGGTGCGGACGATGCGTACGGGCAAATGTGCGAGGCCATCAGTAAAACTCGGCGCGTACGGCGAGTGCGGCGCGTACGGCGCGAATAAATGTGCGTTCAGCTTAATCCGACACGACCGGAAATTAGAGATTCCTTATCGGTGCGTCTTCATAAACTCGATAAAATTGTTAAAGTTTAAAACGTGTTTTTGTTATACGTATAGGTCGTCGTAAACTTAAATCATCTACGGAGGCGAATAGAAGTTTCTAGGTAGTAAGACTTCATTTCTGTATGGAGTTCGTCTGGGTTGGTACCAACCTGTTAACTATTTTTTTTATAGGATAGGGTGACAGACGAGCGCACAGTCCACCTGATGGTAAGTGGTTGCTGTGGCCCACAGACATCTACATCTATCCTCGTTTGCGAATAAAAATGCAGATGCGTTGTCACCCGTGAGGACTAAGATGGAATGCCTCTTTTCCAGTAAAATGGGTGTCCGGTTCTCTACACTCACCATACGAAACACAGCAGTGTTAAGCTGCTATTTTACGCTGGTATTCTGTGAGAGCGTGGTCCTTCTCCGGTCGAGCCAACCCATTCGTGCTACAACTATATCAGTAATATAGCTGCAACATGGCTCTACCACGTAATATTAAGTATGTTGGAACACAGCAGTGCAAACACTGAAGATTTCTCTTTTTCTTTCTGAAGGGTTTAGAGAGTCAGTATAGTTACAGTCTCTAGGGTAATCCATATTTGTCCTCAGAGGTGACAACGCATCTGTAGTTCTTTCTTTGAAGTTGGCTGAAGGTGTCCATGGACTGCAATAGTTAACTTTACCTTTAAGAAGGTGGATAGTAAATTCGTTTTGAATTCAGTTTCATAAATAATGTGTAATCTGTGAAATGTCTATATATAAAGAGTTGTCAGTTCTTTACCTCATATAAGTTATGGTTGTCGCAAGAGGCGAGCTGCTGGAGAATCTCGCTAGAGCTGCCCGCGTTCTCACACAGTTCACATATGAGCACAGCGTTGTACAACGTCTGTTGGTATTTTAATATATTTTTATATTTCTTTAGACCCGTTTTATTAAAAAAAAAATCTCTGAAAGGGGGACTTCCTTACATCCAGGCGGAAGAGAGCGATCGATGTTTTTAGATGCAACACACATGGATACAGGTTTGCAGTTTTTTTGTTTAGAGCTATCAACAACAATAGCAAGCGTGCTGTCTGATGGCAGTGTAGGATAATCCACCACTTAATCATATCTCGTGAGGAAACGTCTATGACAAAAAAAGACCAAGTCTATGGGAAAAGAAAGAAAACAAAGGCCTAGCCTCTGGTGATCTTTTTTCAAAGTTTACTTTACAAAATGCAGATGCGTTTTCACCACTGAGTACTAAGATGGAATGCACTGTCACCAGTAAAAAGGGTCTCTGGCTCTCTACACTCAACATACAAAACACAACAGCATTGAGCTGCCCTTTCGTGCTACACTATAATATAGCTGCAGCATGGCTCTACCACGTATGCTTCAATTATGAGAAAGGCCAGAAAGAAAAGCATAGGCAACGTTATTTTTCCAAAGTACATAAATAATGTTTGTCTTTATAATATTGTTTTCCGTTTATTTCTGCGGAGACCTGGCTTGATAAATGGCTCAATAAAATGGACTGTTTTTCAAGCTGAAGTTGACTGTACACGAAGAAGAATTTGAATTCACAGTTGTTATTTTTAAAACACTACAATATTATTGTCCGTTTTGTTCCCATTTATCAGATCCTTTTTGTAATCGGGTTACGGACGCCTCAGTTTTACGCTCAATGGATGTCGGCTCTAATAGAAACTCATGTTCGGCAGAATTTAATTACTGATTTATATTATGTTGTGATATAATTAAGGACGGACGAACATGAGTTGCCCGAAAATATGACAAGAGCCGTCTGCGGGATATAGAAGGGAGTAGTATTCAATTATTACTTACGTTATACAAAGACTTCCACTGATAGGCTTTAGCCGACAGTGCCTTGATTTTTGCAAGAATACCCTGAAAATTAAAAAAGTCTAAGATATCTAGCAATAAAAAGATCATTTTGATTAAAATGTCATCAAGTTCTTACGAAGTGGCTAGCGTCGTTTTTTGGGTAACATAATAAGAAAATAGAAAGAAAAATCTATTAGCCACGCTAGCATACAAATTTTAACATAAAAATAAGAAAATTACGTCCAATAGCTCAGTACGAGTTTCATTGAAACAAAGCTGATTTCTAGTGGGTCACAACCACCATCACAAAACCTTGGCGAATATAGCGAAGGACTGTTATTCTTCATTTCCAAGAATTTACTAGAGCGCTATTTGAAATATCTTTATATATAAAAATTACGTGTCACATTGTTTGTCCGCGATGAACTCCTAAACTACTGAACTGATTTCAATGAAATTTTGCACACTCTGTGCAGTTTGGTCCAACTTGAGAGATAGAATAGATTTTATCCTGATAAGTGACACTCAATATTTTTTAAGTACTAATTTAACACACAACGTTTGCGTGCCCAGCTAGTATACTATATATATCATATCCTATAATTAATAAAATCAGATCCCAATCCAAGTATAGCATTGCAAGACTTCAAGACAATAAAAATAATGTCCTTCAGACCGAGATTCGATCACGGCGGCCAGTCTCTACGGAGACCAGCAAACTGCGCAGAACAGGATTACAGTGCCCGAGTGTATGCGCAAGCCACGGAATATAATATGTTTTTTTATATTCCGTCGCGCAAGCACAGGTGTACTCCCTATTCCCTAACTCTCAAAGTCCGATGGGACGGCAAGCCGACACGGCCGGAGTGAGACCAAGCGCTTACGGCAGGACCAACGGCTTCACGTGTTTTCCGAGGTACGGGAGTGAATAATTGCCAGCATAATGACTCCGGGCTGCTACTGAGAATATCTTGATAGAAAAACCCAATAACTGATTTTGGCCCAACCGAGGATTCGAACCCAGGACCTCATGATCAGCAACCGCGTTTATGGCAACTAGACTAATGAGGCAGTCAAGATTAAGACACTATAAGTTCCTTCCTGCGTAGATCAGACCAAAAATTTATCATTTTATACTTAAGGTACCCGTGGTTAACTATGATATTGGGACTTCGAACACCTTATAAGGTCGGCCACATACATACGGAATTCCGTTTCGGGACTCTGTTTCGGAATTCCGAATGGGTCACACACATGGACACACATACGGGATACCGTTTTGTTCGCAAAATTTCGAACGGAAAACAACCGTACGTATGTGACGGGTCATAGATTTTATATGGACTTTTTGCGTTCGGAATTCCGAATCGGAATATCGAAACGAAATCCCGAAACGGAATTCTGTATGTATGTGGCCGACCTTATATATATCGGAGAGTCTATAAAATACCGTTTGGATCGAGGTAGAATGGAGGGTATATCGAAAAAGTCCCACTCGTTTGTGCAGTATAAAGTTCACTGTAGGCGCTGTGTGCCGGATATTTCGCTTAAGTCATTCTACGAGTGTGGTCACTCTACTAGTGCTAAGATAGTGTCGTGGTTCTGTTCGTTGTGGTAACTCTTCTAGTGCAGGCAAGGAGGATTGGTGTTGCTGAGAGGCTGCCTTGTGTTACATTGAGATAAGTAGTGTTGCTGTTGGTGTTATCATGTAATTACGTACCTCACGTTACACTGGTGTGTGATTGTGGCGGGGACGTGTTACGGTGTGGTCGAACAGTAATTTCACTATACTGAATGTATAATGCGTTACATTGTCTTATTACTGATAATCATTAAACTGCGTAAGCAAGATAACAAGTTGTACAACCGCTCTCACACTTTTCCAAGATCAAACTGGGGATCCTCTGTTGAATCTCCGACATATACCTAGTCAGGTCATAAGTATTGTCACACAGTAAAAACTTTTCTTTTAGAATGCTGGCCACAAAAAAGTTTATAGAATTCGAATTTCGAATTGTTCATGAAAATAAAACTGTATACTTTTTAAAATTTTACTCATTTTTAAATATGGAGTGGACGCTTAAAGAAGACCGTGTTGCAGTTATTGCGTTGCATCGTAGCGGTTACGCGCCAATTCAAATTGTTGACATACTGAAAAATTTGAATATAACCAAAAGATTCGTTTATCGTACCATCAAACGATACAATGAACACTCTAGTGTAGATGACAGGTCAAGAAGTGGTCGCCCTCGGTCTGTTAGGACTCCAGCAGTGATAAAAATTGTGAAGGCGCGAATTCAAAGAAATCCCAAACGTAAGCAGAAACTGTTGGCCCTTCAGATGGGGTTAAGCAGAACCACGGTGAAAAGGGTGTTAAATGAAGACTTAGGGCTTCGGGCATATCGCAGAAAAACAGGACAGCGTTTGAATGCTCGTCTAATGGACCTGAGACTGAAAAGATGCCGCGCTTTGTTGAAGCGGTACGCGGGAAAAAAATATCGGGAAATTCTTTTTTCGGATGAAAAAATTTTTATCGTAGAAGAGAGCTACAACAAACAAAATGATAAGGTGTACTCACACAGTAGTGAAGAAGCGAGCAACCGTATTCCGCGTGTCCAACGAGGTCATTTTCCATCCTCGCTCATGGTATGGTTGGGAGTTTCTTATTGGGGCTTAACAGCGGTATATTTTTGTCAGAAAGGTGTAAAAACGAATGCAGTTGTGTATCAAAATACAGTCCTGACGAACCTTGTGGAACCTGTTTCTCATACCATGTTCATTAACAGGCACTGAGTATTCCAACAAGATTCGGCGCCAGCTCATAGAGCGAAGAGCACACAAGACTGGCTGGCGGCGCGTGAAATCGACTTCATCCGGCACGAAGACTGGCCCTCCTCCAGTCCAGATTTGAATCCATTAGATTACAAGATATGGCAACACTTGGAGGAAAAGGCGTGCTCAAAGCCTCATCCCAATTTGGAGTCACTCAAGACATCCTTGATTAAGGCAGCCGCCGATATTGACATGGACCTCGTTCGTGCTGCGATAGACGACTGGCCGCGCAGATTGAAGACTTGTATTCAAAATCACGGAGGTCATTTTGAATATAGTTTAGTGTCATAAGAATCTATGTTTTGTTAAGTTCATTTTGGTATATAAATGGTTACATAATGAATAAACTTGTTTCAATTAATTTATATTAAACATGTGACAGAATTTATGACCTGACTAGGTAAAATAAGTTAATCGCGTAATAAACGCGATAAAATCCGTAAAATCTAGTTTGATTCTATTAGCGTATTCCCCTCTACAATGTCTTCAACAGTCCGACAAAGTGGACCTATCACCCAGAAGATCTTCCATATCCGCCACGTTTAACAAGTGGATAGCTGATCTGAGCACCAGATGTTTCGCGGACCGAATGACAGAATGTTCTAAAATATCTAGACCCCGTCTCTGGTCTAGATATTTTAGAACTGGTAGGTATGACTGCTATCTATCGAAGTCCATAAGGTCTTATTATTATTATAGCAAGCCATATTAATGTATTGGTGGTTGATGATATGTTATGATTCCGTGTAGTGTCGGTGTAAAGATATCCACTACTCCATATCGTGCCGTGGATTTCGTAAGGGGCGACAAAGGAAAATTGAAATAATGTAACTATGGCAAAATCTCCCCTCCGATGAATCTATGGAAGAGGCTTTTGTACAGCGGTGGACTTTTATAGGCTGCATATATACGTTTACGTTCATGTATGCCCAGTATGTTGCCGTGTAGTGGCGACGTAAGGAAATCTACTGCTCAATATCATCCCATGGATATCGTAGGTGATGACAGAGGGAGACTTAAGAGGGCAGCAGCATCTTCCAGACTATAACTCAATAATAATAATAAAACAAGCGGTTGCCGACCCGCAACAACTATGCCAAAATCTTCCCTTTGAGGAATCTACATTTTAAGGGTGACACGATTATACTTGATTCAAAACATCATCTGTGAGTACTAAGATCAAAAATCTAGTTACCAGAAAAAGGGGTATCTGATTAGCACAAAACACGAGAAACAAGGCTGGTATGCTTTTATTTGCAGCTGGTATTCTGTGCGAGTTTTGTGTTTCCCCATTCGAGCCTACCTATTCGTGCTGCATTAGTACGCAGTACTGCTACACGGTGGCTCTGCCACGTAAATATATAATCAATTCTTACGTTTACGTTTCTAATAAATCTCAGCGATGCGCAAATGTTCCTCATGAGTGAATCGCTCTGAGGTTTCGTGAAGAACTCCACGACGTCGAGACGTCGTTGCAAAGTTGCTATGTCCGAGCTCGGGTGCCGAAGCAGCACTCTGTCATTTCGTATATTTGTGTTAAAAGTTAAAAATTGAAATTACAGATTATATAGGTCCCACTGCTGGGCACAGGCCTCCTCTCTTTTCTGAGAGGGTTTTAGGGCAAGGAAATGTCCGCCACGCTGCCCCAATGCGTGTTGACGAACTTCACATATCTTGAAAATATATTTATTGTTATTATTTCTCTTACATGCAGGTTTCCTCATGATGATTTTCTTCACCACTGAGTACGTGGTGAATCAGCACTTAAAATAGAAATTAACGATTTCATTGGTGCCGGCGGAAATCGAACCCGGTTTGCTCGCATACTGTGACAGCGAGCGCTCGCGTACTGTGAAGTTTACAGCGAGAAAAATATTTCGAAGACATGTGAAGTTCGCCAACACGCATTGGGGCAGCGCGGTGGACACTTCCTTGCCCTAAAATCCCTCTCAGAAATGAGAGGAGGCCTATGCCCAGCCGTGGGATATATATAGGATGTATCTTTAACTTTAAGTTTTTTTTTAATATAAAATTGAAGTGATAAACATACAGTCCAGCTGATGGTATGAGTACTGCAGCCTATTGACATCTACAACCAACAACTTCAATCAAAAAGACCAAAGGTGCGTTGTCAACTCTGAGGTCTAAAATGCCTCACAGCCTGTAATTGGACTGGCTCTCCATTCCCTTCAGATCGGATTATAGCAGTACAGATCTGCTTCTTGGCGGTATAAATAGATAAGAGGGTGGTCAACCTATCAGGTGGGTAAAAATGAGTCCCAAGTAAAAGAATTACCTAGTAAAATGTAGTAAAAATAGTATCTGCTTAACCTTGGATTTTTTTATTGCATGCCGTAAGCGCAAAGCGCGCAGGTATGATCTGCTAGGGCCTAAAAATCAAGATTCCAACGTTTTGTCGCATGAAATCGTATCCAGCAATCATATTATACATATAAATGATATAAAAAGCACATTGTCAGAAAGATAAATGATTGTTGAACTTATTGATATTTTTTTATTAATCGATTAATTGCTATTTTTACATAAAAAAGGAGTTGTAGTGGCTTATGGTGGGGATTTATAAAGTCCGCATGGCTTCGTAAACACGATAACTTTTGAAAATATCAATTCTTTAACTCAATTTTTTTATTTTTTATAGGATAAGGGTGACAAACGAGCACACAGTCCACCTGGTGGTAAGTGGTTGCTGTGGCCCATAGACATCTACATTTATCTTTATTTTCGGATTGATGATTTGCAGATGCGTTGTCACCCGTGAGGACTAAGATGGAATGTCTCGTTTCCAGTAAAAAGGGGTCTCCGGTTCTCCACACTCACCATACGAAACACAGCAGCGCTAAGCTGCTATTTCACGCTGGTATTCTGTGAGAGCGTGGTCCTTCCCCGGTCGAGCCGACCCATTCGTGCTACAACTGTACCAGTAATATAGCTGCAGCACGGCTCTACCACGTACATTTCACTGTCAATCGGTTAATGTATTAAAATAATAAAGATGTTAAAAATTAACTAGCTAAAATCCGCGTAGTAAAATAAAATGACCTGTCTTACCTAGGTTGACGGTCTTCAAACTAGGTAAGGCACTAGAATCTTAAGATGATTAACTTTTAACATCTATTAAAGATACATCCTCAAAGTAACGTCTGATTCTATTAATTGTATTATAATAATTTGTATTTTCATATAGTTATTTTGTTGATCCTTTCTCATACAAACCATATTGAACCTCCAAAGAAGTGTTCTCTGCTTAGTTATAGATTGACTGGTAGAGAACGTCTTAGGCGTTAAGTCCGTCTTTGTACATTTTTATGCAACGAAGTTTAAATAAGTAAATAAATAGTACGTCTAAAGTTCTCAACTAAAAATACAGTTCTTCCTTTTACCTCAGACGCGAATGACCAACCCTCGAGGAACATTTGCTGAACAGCTGGAATAAACTGAGGCCTTCCTTGTTGCTGCCCTGAACGCCTTTCTTGAAGCTACTGGGATGTGCGAGCGAACTAAACACCTGCAGTCCACGGTACGTATCCTCGTCTATTGTCACAATGTCCGCTCTACGAGTTCAATTATACAAACAGAGTTATAATGTAGAGTAACAGTGTCATGACACATTAATCTCACCAAAACTTAACAGCCAAAAAATTTCAGCTCAATCGGTTGAGGATAACTGCCTTAAAATTTAGTTGCAAGATTTGACCCTAACAGTCATACAAACATTGCAAGTTAAATAAAAGCTTTTAAAAAGGAAGCCAATTTCGCTTCGAACAGCATTCGGGGTTGTGTTGGCCTTGCCAATAAAAGAGTTGAGCGGGCGCAAAGAAAGGAGTTCCAAGAACGTTGTTCATTCCTATAGAATAAACAACCCCCCCCCCCCCCCCTCCCTAAACGTCGTTTGTACCGGACTTGGTTTCCTTTGCACATTTATGTTTTGGTGATAATTTTGTCATCACTTGGCGACATCAAATAACGATAATTGGTAGTTCTCAGATTTTATACTTTGTATGCACTTTATGGTCTACCTTAATGCAAACATTTTTAAACAAGTTTTTAGGGCCTAGCCTAGGTAATATCAATCAATTAATCATTTAGATGTCAGATACAAAATTATTATTAGGTACAGTCATGTTTCACCTTAGATGTATATGAACATAATTGAAGTAATTTTACATTAAATGTAATAATAATCGTTTGATGACAAAATTTTTGTCATCAATAGATAAAATGGTACTCCAAATCACTCAAGAAATATTTTACCACCAGCTGATTAGTGACCGCCAGTACGGTTTTCGTCGAGGTCGATCAGCTGGTGATCTTCTAGTCTATCTGACTCATAGATGGGCGGAGGCAGTAGAGTCCAAGGGGGAGGCATTGGCCGTTAGTTTGGACATAGCGAAGGCCTTCGATCGGGTCTGGCACAAAGCGCTTCTTTCGAAGCTTCCTTCCTATGGGCTTCCCGAGAAATTGTGCAAATGGATCACCAGTTTCCTTGCTGATCGGAGTATCAAGGTCGTAGTAGACGGTGCATGCTCTGATTTCAAGCCTATCAACGCTGGTGTTCCACAAGGCTGCGTGCTATCACCAACGCTGTTTCTCCTGCATATCAATGATATGTTGCTAACTGGTAGCATTCATTGCTATGCGGACGACAGCACTGGTGATGCCTTATATACCGGCCGTGCCAATATTTCTCGGGAAAACGTCGCTGAGTACCAGGACAAACTTGTGTCTGAAGTCGAGTCTTTGCTTAACAAAGTCTCGGAATGGGGCCGACTAAATCTAGTCCAGTTCAATCCCCAGAAGACACAAGTTTGCGCGTTTACCGCTAAAAAGAACCCCTTTGTCGTATCTCCTCAGTTTCAAGGCACTCCCCTTGCTGCCTCAGCTAGTATCGGTATCCTCGGAGTCGACATATCGCTTGCAACTTTACAAAGCGCAAGTTCGGCCCCACATGGAATACTGTTCTCGTCTCTGGGCCGGGGCACCCCAGTGCCAGCTCCTTCCACTTGACCGCATCCAGCGCAGAGCGGTTCGAATCGTCGACGACCGAGTTCTTTCTGATCGGCTCGATATACTGGCACTGCGTAGAGATGTGGCATCTCTTTGCGTATTTTATCGCATCTATCACGGGGAGTGCTCTGAGGAATTGTTCGGACTAATTCCAGCCGCTCAATTTCACCATCGCACATCGCGACAAAACTCGCGTTACCATCCATACCATCTGGATGATTGGCGGTCCTGCACTGTGCGATTTAGAAGAAGTTTTCTCCCTCGCACAACTTCCTTGTGGAATCAATTACCACCAGCGAATTTTCCGGACCGATACGACTTAGGAACCTTCAAGAAAAGAGCTTACACCTTTCTAAAGGGCCGGCAACGCATCTGCAATTCCCCTGGTGTTGCAGTTGTTCATGGGCGGCGGTAGTCACTTACCATCAGGTGAGCCGCATGCTCGTTTGCCCCCTCTTCTATAAAAAAAAAAAACACTGAGAATGTTATGAATCATCACTTAAAATTGCGCCAAACAATTTTAATACATGTAGCTTCAACAAGGTGTTAATTAATTTTTAAGTTACTTCAAAACAGGAGAAGGTTTTCATTTTGACTATTTTTTTTTAATGTGTGTTACCTCAAAACTTTTTTCTAGGTGGACTGATGTTGATGATTCTTTTATTTAAAAGCTGGTGCTTCTCATGTCGTCCCATATAAATTTGATCAAGATTTGACCATTAATTTTTGAGTTTACTTAATAAATTTAATTGATTTCGATTACACCAATAATGTTCTCATTTTATTTATATTGAAGTCGGTTGTACAAAATTTTTAATTTTACCACTTGTTTGGGATGTAAGTTTTTGCTTTCAAAAACACGGACGCGTGTAGTTATAAAAGTGAAACTTCTTTATCGACGTATTGGAGAAACGTTTTCTTGTGACGTTTGTATGAGTATATACTTAACCTACGTATGTAAAATTAAAATAAAAGAAGAATGATATGTCGTAAATTTCATTTCATACGTGTGTACACAATTACACGCACATTTTTTTCGTTTATTTCTAACGATCTTTACACAATATATTATTTAGCTGATTAAAGACTTGTTGATAATTGTTTTTAAACACAAGACCTTTTTAAGCTTCTTATTTTGGGTAATATAATTCCTATTCCTTAATATCACTTCCTAATACTACATTATTTAAAGGGCCTTATTTAAAAAAAAATCTAGCTTATGATCTCAGCAGTCCGCCGACCAAGCGTGACCAACAAGTCAAGTCCTAACAACAGGAAATACCCATGTCCAGCTGTGGACCTTTGAAAAGAAGTTTAAATAGTGACACAAGCAACATCGCTGCTTCGATGTTTCAGTTCATCATGATTATCACTAACCAGCAATGAATTATAAAATTGGATAGAATGAAAAAACAAACGCATATAGAAGCTCACTTACAAAGAAATTCTTTTCAAGCTGAGGAACTGCGGCTTGCCTTGCATATTCAAAGTCAGATTGGACCAGTTCATGTCTAGGTATCGGAGCAATGCGCCCAGTGCATGCACGCTTTGGACCTGACTGAAGTCCACTACCGTGCGGAGGAACATCGTGCGCTCTTCCTCTGTGCAATTGGGGGGTTCGTGGGGTAAGGACAGGGTGAGTATGCGCCTTTTGCAAGCTTCGTAGTCTGTTGAAACATACATAAATATTTCAGAAAGACATGAGAAAGATGTGGTTTATAGGCGGTAGTAATCTTTTTTTTTTAATTTCAGTCCGTCTCGATAGGTACCACTAATTATTTTGTTTAACTGTTTTTGTTTTGTTTTTTTTTTATTTTTTAACTATTTCTGAGGCTATAGAGAGCAAGTATAATTACAGGTTGTTAGGCATTCCATGTTACTCCTCCGAGGCAGGGCTCGGATAACGGTATATTTTTGGAAACGTTTCTCGCCTTAAATACCTAAAAACTCATTTGTTTCGTTTATGTTCGAACGGAATCATAATAAAAACGTTTATGAAGAGAACGAAATTTTAAATCGTTCTTGATGAATAAAACGTTTTTAACCATTTTAAACAGTTTTTTTCCCATTTTTGGCCCTGCAATATGAAACAAAAATATCTCAAAGTTTAAAGTTGGTGTGGTACGAGCCATTCATTTAGCTTCCTGCGGAATAAGCCGTTTTTTTACGTTTTCACATTACGTTCTCATTTCGTTTTTGTTCCGAACAAAATGTTATACAAGGAACCGTCCCAAACGTTTTAAAAACGTTATTTTCAATAACGTTTCCCAGCCCTGCTCCGAGGTGACAACGAATCTGTAGTCTCTTTTGTGTTAAGTTTTGAAAATGGACGCAGGTGTCCATGGGCTGCATTAGCCGTTTACCTCAGTTGGCCAATTAGTTTGCTGGTCACTTAAATTTTATTAAAAAAAAGAACCCTCTAGAATAGAATCGCAATTTTTTATTCAATGTGTAATTCTTATTGACAGTAATTTTTAACAGTCTTCAAAAAGGAGGAGGTACTCAATTCGACTGTAATTTTTTAATGTGTGTTATACCTCATAACTTTGTTCTAGGTGAACCGATTTTGATGATACTTTTTTAATTGGTGGTGCTCGTGTGATCTCATATAACAATTTGATCAAGGTTTGACCAGTAGCTTTTGAGTTATTCTTAATAATTTATATTGAAGTCGGTTGTACAAAATTTATAATTTTACCACTGGTTCGGAATAAAACCTCTGTCCCGGTAAGGACCAACCCGATAGGACTTTTATTTTTTCAAAGTAAATTATACAATAAGAAAGGATGTACAAGCTATTTACAAAATTTATTTTAGAAACAGTTTGGAAGCGAGCAATTGCAGGGGTTATTACCAACCGTGTATTAATTTATAATATCCAGCAGTGTATTTATGCGGGCCGTTTATGAAGAAGTGATTATGTTATATAGAAACAATCATCCCTATTCCCTACCCTACCTCGAGTGCCGTATTATTGAATCCCTATCTGCCTATCTGCGTTCCGCCCACCATGGGAATTTACTGAGTTTCCATGGCAGATTTTAAGAAGTAAAAGAGACAAACGCGCACTCATTCCATGGTAGTAAGTAGATGCTGTGACCCATAGACTCTTACATCTTTTCTCGATCACGGCCCGAAATACTAATACGTTGTCACCCCTAAGGATTAAGGTGGAGTGCCTCGATACCAGTAAAAAGGGTCTCCGGTTCTCACCACACGAACCAAAAGCATTATGCTACTATTTTACGATGGTGTCCTGTATGAGCGTGGTCTATTTCCGGTCGGACCGACCTATTCCTGCCGAAGTCATGCTACACTGTAATGTGATACTATCACGTAAAGAGAATAGTATAAAAATTTCCTCGAAAAAATTAGCTCGATGATAAGTAATAAAAAGAATTAATTAAATTTTTTGCTATAACCTATTACAAATTGATGACATTCCCCTTCAGAAGGTTAGAGTTTAGGTTCGATTTCTTTTCATTCATCACAGCCTGTCAGAGTGCACTGTTGAACACTGTCTCCTCATAGATTGATTTATAAGGGGGATATATATGCCATAGTTGCCTTGCTTGGCAAGCCGAGTTGTTAAGCGCAGTTTTTACAATTGTAATTTGCACAAGGGCACCCCAGACCGCGAATATATGTTTGCCATACAAATATTTCTCCCGTGCAAGACCTGCGTTCTATATTGCGGCAGCGAAGTATTTCTTTCCATAACTTTTTTGTTAATTTTTTACCCGTGAAAGGAAGGCAAAGGGATCTTAGTTCATACGGCCATGAATTTATTTTACCTTCCTTATAGGCAAGAAGTACACACAAAATTTTGTTTTTTTATAAATATATTATTGATTTAATTTCTTTGTTTTTTTTAATAAGCACTGAAATACCGTACTTGAATTTTTTACGTTCACGTATTATAGTTGTATAGGAACGTATGACCTTAGGTTATGATAGGATAAGTTTACGTACTGTACTCTTTAGCCGATATGAAGATGAGCTTGCATCGGCCATCGTCGTTAGTTTCGTTGTTGAAAACTATAGCTTTCACAGCGCTGACGAAGGTACCTTGAATCTTGCCGTCCAGTAGGACTTTGATCGGTTCCACTTGTCGGAAGAGGCTAATGAATATCTGGTGCTCTGGTGGACGATCTATTATCTCGTCTAGTACACATAGCTAGGTGGAAGTATGGAAACAATGTTAGTTGAATGTCTACATTTGCTGAAATATCCTTGCTCGACAGCAGTTGCAATCGTAGAATGAGTCAGTTAACTATGACAGACAGGCTTAGCATTTCAACGTCACTTGTCAGATTTCTGGATGTATCATCATCATTACAGCCCTTCACAAGTCCACTGCTGAACATAGGCCTCCCCCAAAGAATGCCACAAAGCACGGTCCTGAGCCACCTGCATCCATCGACTTCCTGCATGTCTTACCAGGTCGTCACTCCATCTCGTGGGGGGACGCCCTACACTTCGCCTACCGGTACGAGGCTGCCACTCGAGAACCTTTCTTCCCCATCGGTTGTCGGTTCTTCGAGCTATATGGCCGGCCCACTGCCACTTCAGCTTACTAATCCGTTGGGCTATGTCGGTTACTCTGGTTCTACTGCGGATATCCTCATTCCTAAGTTTATCACGCAGAGAAACTCCGAGCATAGCCCTCTCCATAGATCGCTGAGCGACCTTGAGCTTCCTCATACGGCCAGCAGTGAAGGACCACGTCTCAGTTCCATAAGTCATCACTGGCAACACGCACTGGTTGTACAATTTCGTTTTCAGGTTTTGAGGTATGTCTGACGAGAAGATGTGTCGTAGCTTCCCGAACGCTGCCCAGCCGAGTTGAATCCGTCGATTGACCTCTCGGTCGAAGTTGGACTTACCTAGTCGGACTATTTGTCCCAGGTAAATATACTCGTCAACAACTTCGAGCTTAGTGCTCCCAACAACTACCGGCATAGGTGTGACATGGACATTGAACATGATCTTTGTTTTGTCCATGTTCATCTTAAGACCTATACGTTGGGAAACACTATCGAGGTCATTGAGCATAGTGCTTAGGTCCTCCAGCGATTCTGCCATAAGGACTATATCGTCGGCAAATCGAAGGTGAGTGATGTACTCGCCATTGATGTTGATACCGTATCCTTTCCAGTCCAGGAGCTTGAAAACGTCTTCCAATGCAGCGGTGAAGAGTTTCGGGGATATGACGTCACCCTGTCTTACACCTCTCTGCAATTGGATAGGTTTCGTACTCTGGTTCTGTACTCGGATAGCCATCGTAGCCCTACTGTACAAGCACTTCAACACTTCGATATACCGACAGTCAACTTGGCACCGCTGAAGGGACTGCAGCACCGCCCAAATTTCGACGGAATCAAAGGCTTTCTCATAGTCCACATACGCCAGACATAGTGGCAAATTGTACTCTTCGGACTTCTGTACAATTTGCCGAAGGGTATGTATGTGGTCTATGGTGCTAAAGCCCTTTCGGAAACCGGCTTGTTCGGGAGGCTGGAAGTCGTCAAGTCTGCGCGCGAGACGATTCGTAATGACTCTCGAAAACAGCACGTAGACGCGGCTCAGAAGGGAAATCGGTCTGTAGTTCTTCAAGAGAGCGTTGTCACCTTTCTTGAAGAACAAGACCACCGCACTTCTGCTCCACGCCTCCGGTGTAATGCCACCATGGAGGACGGAATTAAAGAGCTTCTGAAGGACTTCAAGTACCGGTCTTCCACCCGCTTTCAGAAGCTCCGCTGTAATTCCATCCTCGCCTGGGGCCTTACCGTCTTTAAGGTGCTGGAGAGCCATTCTAATCTCGCTCAGACTGACGTCCGGGATATCTTCGGAATAGTGTCGAATGAGACTCGCTCTTGGATCGTTACTCACACTTGCGTGTGGCTCCAACGATGACGTGTACAGCTGCCCATAGAACCTCTCAATCTCACTCAAAATCTCAGGTGTCTCGGAAACGATGCTGCCACATCCTGTCTTCAGCTTTGACAGGTGGCTCTTTCTGGCAGACAGATCTCTGGCAAAGACTTTGGAGCCTTGGTTCCGCTCGATCGCTTCTTCAATACGAGCTGTATTGAAGTTGCGTAAGTCCCGCCGCATGCACTTGGAGATCTGTCTGTTCAGATGCCTGTATGCTGTCAAGTCTGTTGAAGAATGTAGCTTCATCTCCCGTCTAACAGCACAAAACAGAGAGTTTTTGTGTTCTTCTGCGGCGGGTCTTGCAGAACTTAGCTCCGACCGCATGGACAGTTTCCACGAGCTTGTCATTCATATCGTCCACTTCATTGCAGTCTTCTAGGCACTGAAAACGGTTTTGTAACTCGAGCTGAAAGGTTTCGGGACTTTGGAACAGAGCACGAGGGGGACGGAGCGTTGACTTCATTAGACGAGACCTCTCCAACTTAACGTTTAGGTTCAGTGTGCCTCTAACCATTCGGTGATCGCTACCAGTTTTCACCCTCGCGATCACGGAGACATCACTGAACAGTTGTCGTCTGGTCGTCATAATGAAGTCAATCTCATTTTTTGTCGGACCGTCGGGGCTCGACCAGGTCCACTTCCTGTGGGGCCGCTTCTGGAAGAAAGAGTTCATCATAAAGAGTCCCTCTTTCTCCATGAAGTCGGCCAGCTGCTGGCCCCTTGGGTTCCGTTGCCCTATTCCAAATTTCCCTACTTTCAGCTCACCGTTCTCTCTTGTGCCTAGTTTTGCATTGAAGTCTCCCATTAACACCGTATATTGGGTTTTGGAGGAATGCATGGCTCTAGAGATATCCTCATACATTTCCTCCACCTCCCCATCGGGGTGTGCCGAGGTTGGTGCGTAAACCTGTATGACCTTCAGCGAATACCGTTTGGTGATTCTGAGTATAAGGTACGCAACCCTCGTCGACACACTCCCGATCTTTACAACGTTGTTAACGAGAGACTTGTGGACTATAAATCCGACACCTCCTTGGGACAGATGGTCGCCCTCCCGGTGATAGAGCAAGTTGCCGGATTCGAGGATTACCGTGTCCTCCCCCTCTCTTCGGACTTCGGATAATCCTATAATATGCCAGCGCAACTTGTCTATCTCTTCTTCCAGCTCCACGATCTTCTCGTCAGTCCTCAGGGTGCGTGCGTTGTACGTTGCCAGGTCGAGTCGTCTAAGGTGGCAACCGAACCTCCACCGGAGATTCTTAGCACCCCCTGCCCCGCCGTTACCATGGTCGCCACCGTAGCCAGGAATAGCGGGGCTGCCGGGGGCTGGGGGCCGTTTCTTTGTTACTGTCATTCATAGGGGGGGGGGGGTATTTGCCATAGTTGCCACGCTTGGCGAGCGGGTTGGCAACCGCAGTTTTTTTTATTGTTAGTTTGTTGTTATCAAGAAGATGCTGCTGCCCATCTCCTGCCTGTTTCCCTTTGTCGCCTTTTACGACACCCACGGGAGGATATGGGGTAGTGGTATTCTTGACCGCCACTACACGGCCTCTGGATGTATAATGGGGGTAAATCCCGTAATGGGGGTTTCTATTGCCTGTGTAAGAATATCCACTACCCGATATAATCCCGTGGTTTTCGTAAGGGGCGACAGAGAGAAAATGAAACAGGAGATGGGCAGCAGCATTTTCCTGATAAAAACTCAAAATTATAAACACTGCGTTGTCAACCTACCTGCGAAACGTGTCATCTCAGGCAAAATTATCCCTATGAGGTAATCTTCGAGGGCCTATGTTCAGTGTGCAGTGGAATTTTAAAAGCTGTAATGGAGTGAGGGTATAACAATCTCATCTCCAAATCATCATCATCACCATTACAGCCCTTTACAGTTCCATTGCTAAACATGCGATCCCTCCATCTAGTACACATTACTTACTGGGGGCTACACATTGCTTACTGAAAACAGGCTTTTTCTCCAAATACGAACCAAACAATTTCTCAAATTGAGATTTGATCTCATAGACTAGTGATGTATTTGAAGGGCATTTATTGTTTTTTTTATAGAATAAGGATGACAAACGAGCACACAGTCCACCTGATGGTAAGTGGATGCTGAAGCCCATAGGCACCTGCATCTATTCTCGATTAAGAATTAAAATGCAGATGTGTTGTCGCACCTGAGGACCAAGATGGAATGCCTGTTTCCAGTGAAAAGTGTCTCCGGTTATCTACACTCAAAAAAGTTTTTTACGTGGTAGAGCTATGCTGCAGCTATATTAATATTATAGTTGTAGCAAGAATGGGTCGGCTCGACCGGAGAAAGACCACGCTCTCACAGAATACCAGCGTAAAATAGCAGCTTAATGCTGCTGTGTTTCGTATGGTGAGTGTAGAGAACCGGAGACCCATTTTACTGGAAAAGAGGCAGTCCATCTTAGTCCTCACGGGTGACAATGCATCTGCATCTTGAGTCTTTATTGAGGATAGATGTAGATGTCTATGGGCCACAGCAACCACTTACCAGCAGGTGGACTTTGTGCTCGTTTGTCACCCTTATTTTATAAAAAAAAAATTAGCTTTCTTTATTTCAAGATTGTTTGAAGTGTCCATGGGATGCAGTAGCCGCGTACTATCTAGTGAATTGTTTATTTTTTTCTTCGCTTTTTTTAAAAAGCGTTACCCCACTAGGATTTTCTCCTGTATCGTGGAGGCAGTTTACATACATAAATTACACAAGGACAAACATCCAGACCCGGAAGAATTATTTTTAGGTGAAAGAAAAACTTGTTCCGAGCCGGATTCGAACCCAAGGCCGTCAGCGCCTAAACTCATTGCTAAGCCACTGCGCCACGGAGCCGTCATTGTTCGTTTGTCACGAATACGTCAATCGATTAAAGGATCGCCCTTATAAGACCTAGTACAATAATAATGTTTTTTTTTCTTTAAATTGCTTATAATTTAAATAACAATTGTTACGAACCTCGCCAGTCTGAAGCGTAAAGTACGCTGCTCCTAATCTCCCAGATCGACAGTAGACCACAAGAAGACGCTGTATAAAATAAATATTTCAACTTGGGAATTTGTTAATAACACACTTGTGAACTCTTTTGACAACTTGATCAAGATATACCAATATGTCCTTACTATCCTTACACAAAATTCATTCTTATTTCATTATTTTTTTTATTCATTTTTATTTACAGACTATCATATGTCTACTGCTGAACATAGGCCTTCCCCATAGATCGCCTAATAGGGGGAATATTTGCAACGCTTGGCATTCATGTTGTTAACCACAGTTTTTTCATTATTGTTAAGTTATTATCTGGAAGATGCCGCTTCCCCTCCTGCTTAAGTTGCCATCTGTCGTCTCTCACAACGTCCATGAAATGATTGCCCTTTATTTTTTATAGCTGTTCTGCAGTCACAAAAAAGCTCTCCTACCACCGAACACCGTCGAAACCATAGTTCACCTTATTAGTCATAATATCACCGTTAATAATACTTATGTCTTGTGTTATTAATGATCTTAATTAATTAAACAGAGTTTTGGTACTGAAGGATGATTTGATTCTTTATTCTGCGAATTAGTCAGATACGATATTTTCTGTTTGCATAAGGCATCAAGGAAAATATACTGAATGTCCTCATTGAAATAATGCTTGTATAAAGTTACAGCCTATATACTAGTACGCCCCACTGCTGGGCACAGGCCTCCCTTCATTTCTGAGAGGGTTTTAGGGTAAGAAAGTGCCCGCCGCGTTGCCCCAATGCGTGTTGGCAAACTTCACATGTCTTCGAAATATATTTTTTTTCTTATTTCTCAGACATGCAGGTTACCTCACGAGTTTTACTTCACCGCCGACCATGTGGTAAATCAGCACTTAAAATTGCAATTAACAATTTCATTGGTGCAGGCGGAAATCGAACCCGGTTTGGTCGCATACTGTGAAATTTACAGCGAGTGATAACCATCTGAGCTACCACGGCTCTAATGCTTATATAACTTCAACAAAAATAAGCAACGATCGACTCCCACTAACTTTAAACGCTTCCATGTCATTAGTAAGGTTCACATAGTAGTCAGAAATCTATCCATTCTATTACAATCTATAAAAGTCCACTGCTGAACTTAGGCCTCCTTCATAGATTGCCTCATATGGGGATTTTCTGTCACTTGACGCGCTTGCCGAGCGAGTGTTCAACCGCAGTTTTTTTTATTATTTCGAGTTGTTATCAGTAAGATGCTGCTGCCCATCTTCTGTTTCATATTCCTTCTGTCACCTCTTACGACACCCACGGGACGATATGGGGTAGAAGATATTCTTACACCGCCACTACACGGTACAGTAGTCAGGAATGCATTGAAGTAATATGTTACGTACTAGAAAAGACTCACAGACTTGGTTGTTTGCAAGTTTGCAACACGCGGGCTGAAACTTACTTAGTCTGTGCCGTCAAAAGGTACTATGTACCTCTATCCACGTGCTCTGTACTGTCGCATCGATTTTGTTCTAAGATGATAATGAATGTTATGCTTATAAATTTTGGATGGATTTGCGGAACATACCATCAAAAGTTCACGGTCATACCTACATCTTCACGTTTATATCTATTAACTAGCTGTTCCCCGCAACTTCGCTCACGTGTTAGGTTTTTTATATTTTTGTGCGGAACCCTAGTTCTTTTTCTAAAATAAAAGTAACTTAAGTTACTCTTTATGAAATCAGCTATCTGCCAGTGAAAGTCCCGTCAAAATTAGTCCAGCCGTTTCGGAGATTAGCCGGAACAAACAGACAGACAGATAAAAATTTAAAATACCGTATTTACTTTCATATGCATTTAGTAAAAAAACTGTTATTTTGAAATTACAAAAAGACTTTTTTTTAATAGAAGTAAGGGAGACATACTAGCACACAGTGGAACACTAATAATGTGTTACGCAATTGTTTTTATAGAAGTGGGGCAAACGGGCATGCGGCTCATCCGATGCAAAGTGTCAACCGCCGCCCACGAACAACTGCAACACCAGGGAAAGTGCAGCTGCGTAACCTGTTATTTAAATAAGCCGGCCAAGTGCGAGCCGGAACCGCGCATGAAGGGTTCCGTACCATCGTAAAACACGTTTATAGTAAGAGATCCCCCTTTAATTTTCAATTTATTTTTATTTTATTTGTTTAGCGGCAACAGAAATACACATTGTGTGAAAATTTCAAGCGTCTACCTATTACGGATCATGAGATGCAGCCCGATGAATGACAGACGGACGGACGGGTGGACGGACGGACAAACGGACGGACGGACGAACGGACAGCAGAGGCTTAGTAATAGGGTCCCGTTGGATACACTTTGGGTAACCCTAAAAAGGAGTAAGATCGTTTCTTAAAGGTTCCTAAGGCGTATTGATCCGGAAAAATGACCAGTGGTAAAGGATTCTCCAAAGAAGTCGTACGAAGAAGAAAAGTCCTAGTAAAGCCCACAGTTGTGGACCGCCAAACATTCAAATGACACACCGTGGTAAGTAGGATAGTAGGTGGTACGTGGTAGAGCCATGTTGCAGCCGTATTATGAATGGATCGGCTCCACCGGGGAAGGACCACACTCTCACAGAATACCAGTAATTAAAAAGCAGCTCAATGTTGCTGTGTTTCGTATGGTGACTGTAGAGAACAGGAGACTTTTTTTACTCAATACGAGGCATTCCATCCTCAGGGGTGACAAAGCATCTGTTTTGATTCTTAATCGAGGATAGATGTAGATTTTAATGGGCTACAGTATCTACTTACCATCTAGTGGACTGTGTGCTCGTTTGTCACCCTTATTCTTTAATAAAATGGATGCTTGGCGGTCCACAAGAAGATATCGTGAATTTTGTCGTGATGTGCGTTGCTGAACAGTTCCTCTGAGCATTCCCCGTGGTAGATACGATAGAAAATGCAAAGGGATGCAACATTCCTTCACAGCACCAGTGAATCGAGCCGTTCAGAAAGAACTTGGTCATCGACGATGAGAGCCGCTCTTCGCTGAGTGCGGTCACATATTGATTTTTATAAATTTTTGCCTACCTCTTCGACATCCGACTCTTCGGTTGATTCCTGGTTATTACTTGTACTTGTGCTTTGATTATGAATAACCTCTTTGTTTCTGAAAATAGCAAAACAGATTTTATTGTAATAAAATGCAATGGGGGAAATACTGCTTAGGTACTTAAATTAAGTTTTAATATGTGTTTTGATCTTTTTGTCTCTTTCTATTGCCATAGCAAGTGTAAAAAAATGTAAACAAAAAGCCTCTTTTGGTATGTTCTAAATTAAATAATTCCACGTAGTAATCATATCCACTTCCATCACATTTATTTATTCAAAAATTCCATTAATTAATTTAAATTTATAGTGTTTTCTTCAGGTATGTAGTGCACACGAAAATAATCCACACTAAAAATTTAATAATTTAATGTAATTACGCCAAAAAGGCTGCCTATAACAATTTTAAAACCTTACCTTTGACATCTAGCAATAACGAATAAATTATCGCTAGAACTGCTCTCTTTATTTCTTGAAACATAATCTCCTGTCTGTTTTATAGAAGATCTTGTTTCCGAACCATTTTCTACATTTTCCTCCATCTTTTATTTTTTAGGATTTATTTTTTGCCACCTTATTTATTTATTTTACCTTAAACTCGAATTTTGGCGCCAATTTGTTTTTTTTTAATCTATCAAGTCCCACCGGTCCACATCGGTCACCCCGTGATATTTTTTTTATAACTGGCTTTAGGGCTCTGGGTTCAAGCCGTTCTGAGCCTGAAGCTACAATGTATAATTATCCTTCATAATATACTGCTTCACAATATGTTGATGTGTCACATTGTGCAGCCCTTAGGAGATTTTGACGGCAACTTGCCAGCAGACAGCTGATAGTTGGCGATGGTATCTCAAAGCGCCTAAGCAAACAAACACCTTATTTTGAGAATTACATCACCACCAGAGAACTTGTTTCACCGTTTCGAATAATAATTCACATGCGCAAACACTTAATACACAAAATCGCACCACTTTACATATCAAAATCCACTTCAAACCAATATTTAAACGGTAATATAGGAGTACTTGTATGGCCTACAAATAATTGTTCCGGGTCTGGATGTTTGTCCTTGTGCAATTTGTGTTTGTAAACTGCCTCCACGATACAGGAGAAAATCCTAGTGTGGGGGTAACGTTTTAAAAAAAAAACAAGAAAGAAGAGCAGCAAACTGCCGCCGGTCAAGTTCCCGCCAAATCTCCCGTGATAACTTCTTCTTCTTCTTAGTAACTGGCTTTACGGCTCTGGGATCTAGCCCTTCTGAGCCTGAAGTTACAATATTATATTATAATAATTATTCTTCATAGTATACTAATTCACAATATGTTGATGCGTCACATTGTGCAGCCCTTGGGAGATTTTGACGGCAACTTGAGCCAGCAGACAGCTGACATTTAGCGATGGTATCTCAAGGCGCCTAAGCAGACAGGCACCTTATTTTGAGAATCACATCACTATCAGAGCACTTGTTTCACAGTTTTCACTAATAGTTCACATGCGCAGACACTTAATACACAAAATCGCACCACTTTTACATAATAAAAGTCCACTTCAAACCATTATTTAAACAATAAAACAGGAGCAGCCAACCGCCGCCGGTCAAGTTCCCGCCAAAACTCTCCCGTGATAATTTTGTAGACCTCGCCAAAGAGTATAGTAATATCAGTAATTTTTAGAAGGCACCCTTCAGAACCAAAGAGTATATAATCACTACGTTTACTTAGAACGATAGATAAGAGTGCTCAGAACAATTCTTTTTTACATGTTATTTATAAGAATTATGCAACTATAATTTTAAACTTTATTTTTAATTTTCGTTGAATTACTTTCGTTTTTATTAAATTTTATTAGAAATAGTTTCGTTAAAAAAGAGTTATTGTATTGTATTAGAAAAGCTTCTCTAAATTAAGAGAATGTACTTCAAATGACGAGTTTACATCTTTACCCTCACGTTTACATTATATACCTACTATCTATTTCCTTCGCCGCGTGAGTATAAGAGGCAACTTCAATTTAAAAAAAAATTAAGTAGGTGCTGGTAGGTACAAAAGAAAGTTTGTAAATTAGTTTTTTTTTTTATATAAAAGGTAAATAATTACACTGTTTTTCAATGTTATTTGGTTATATTTTATCTCGAACATTTTTTTACATTTCGTTCACGTATGAAATAAAGTAGTCAGAAGGAACTGATAATGAAATATAAGGTGTGAGTTATCACCATAAATCATGGAAAAAAATAAATTTTCATATTCCACAAAGTCCAGTGTGCGAAAATTCTATAAGATCGTGAATATTATGGCGAAGTTGTTTGCAATAAATATAGCGTTGATTGAAGATAGCGTAATAAAGTATATACCTATGATTAAATTTTTATTTACTTACGTAAATATCGCTTCACCTCAGCAACGCTGTTCTTAACATCACACGGAGCACCCGAAAAAAAATGTTCCGTCTTTTTTCCGCCTACTATTACATTCTACATCTTATTACTATTACTACAAACACTTACCTTACAGGCTATTTTAAGTCCACTGCTAAACATAGGCCCTCCCAATAGGGGTTATATTTGCCATAGCTGCCACAATATAACAAGGTACACTATTAGCATGATACACCGACTAGTCATGGTGATCTGAAATCGATTAATCGATTTCTTGTTCCAAAAAGATCGATTTTTAAATCGATATTAGCAGTGAATCCATATTTTAGGTTTAAGACATTTATTCTCATAAAGACTTACATTAGTCACTTACATGAGAACATTAAAAAGAAGAACAAAATTTTAATTCGTTATGTTCGTCATTGTAAATTTGTGTGTACTCAGTTAACACATTCGTCTATTTTGTGTAATTTTTTAAAACGTATTCTGCTAATTTTATTTTGAATGTGTTAAATGGGTGTACATTTTTAATGTGTGCAGGTATGTTATTATAAAGCTGCGCTCCTTCATATGTTAATGTTTTTCTACCATAGGACGTTCTAATTTTAGGTAGGACAGGAAAGCTGGCTCTTCTCGTTCTTCGTTGTCTGTGGTGTTTTGCTTTACTGAAAGTGATACTGGAATGAATGTTTTTGTCAATAATTTTCCGGATTAAAAGACATGAGTGATAAATGTATAACTGTTGTATGGTCATAATTTTTGTTTCACTATAGATTTTTGAGGTGGATGTTCGAAAAGGATATTGGAAGAGTATTTTTATGACTTTATTTTGAGCGACTTGTAGGTTAGCTAGTCTAGTTTTGGTAGCACTTCCCCAAAGTTCTATAAGGTACATAAGGTGTGGTTTGACAAGAGTGTTGTAAATGGTGTAACGTAAGTTTCGCGGAATGCATCCTACTAAATTTCTAATAGAACCAGAGGCGGATATTAGTTTGCTTCGTATGTGTTCAATTTGATTGTTCCAAGTCAACTTATTGTCAATTCTTAATCCTAAATATTTTTCGTTACTTTTTTGTTGTATAGGTATGTTATTAACTGTAAGATGTTCATGTGGTGGTATAAATTTATTTTTAGCTTTAAAAATGATGTATGATGTTTTAGATGCATTTATAGTAAGTAAATTTTGTTGAAACCAAATGGATAGAGTATTTAAATCTTTTTGAGCCTGATTAATAAGTGTCTGTATGGATGAGCCGAAATAAAATAAAAATGTGTCGTCAGCGTACAACGTGATATGCCCGTGTAAGTCAATTTCCTGGATGTTGTTTATGTAAACAAGGAAGAGTAATGGTCCCAAAATGGACCCTTGTGGGACTCCACATATAACAGGTAGTGCTTTACTTTGATTTTCGCCTACTTTGACTACTTGAAATCTGTTGTTTAGATAAGATTGGAACATTTTAAGGCACTGCCATTGACCCCTATACTAGAAAGTTTTTGGAGAAGAAGTTTGTGACTTACGGTGTCAAAAGCTTTTTTTAAATCAATGCATATACCTAGTGCTATATTTCTACTGTCAATATTGTGCTTAATTTTAGTAAGCAGATCAATTGTTGCAGATAATGTACTGCTATTATATATATATATTTCACCCTAGAAATCGAGATTCGATTTTTTCTGTTTTGATAAGAACCATAAAATTATTTACAATTAGTTTAGTGTAACCAAACACGTAAAAAGATTACAGTTTTTCGCTTTTTTTATTTGAAAACTCGTGAAATGACTGTGTGCTCAGTTTCTTTCGCCTCTTCTTAATGGATTAATGAATAAAAAAAAGTTACGTTTGTTATTGCTTTGTTGTATTTTGTTGGTAGTGTGCAAACTCGAAAAGTACATCAAAAAAGATCAATTTTAATCAATCTTTTAAATCTCGATTTATTTAAGAATCAGATTTCGATTCAAATCCATTTGAAAATCGATCTTTTCCAGGAAAACCGCCATCCCGACCGACTAATCGGCTAGGTTAGGTGAAGTTCGTATATTTAAAAATAATTATAAGGAAGGAAATAAAAAATCGACTATTGAAATAAAACTTAATACTGAGCCGTGGTAGCTCAGATGGTTAGCGCTCGCTATAAATTTCACAGTATGCGAGCAAACCGGGTTCGATCTCCGCCGGCACAAATTAAATTATTAATTGCAATTTTAATATATATGCAATTATATAATGCAATTTTATACGTGGTAGAGCCATGCTGCAGCTATATTTCTGGTATAGTTGTAGCACGAATGGGTCGGCTCGACCGGGGAAGGACCACGCTCTCACAGAATACCAGCGTAAAATAGCAACTTGATGCAGCTGTGTTTCGTATGGTGAGTGTAAAGAACCGGAGACCCTTTTTACTGGAAACGAGGCATTCCATCTTAGTCCTCACGGGTGGCAACGCATCTGCATTTTGATTCGCAAACGAGGATAAATGTAGATGTCTATGGGCCACAGCAGCCACTTACCATGAGGTGGACTGTGTGCTCGTTTGTCACCCTATACTATAAAAGAAAGTGCTGATTTACCACGTACTCGGCCGCAAAGGAAACATCGTAAGGAAACCTGCATGTCTGAGAAATAAGAAAAAAAAATATTTCGTAGACATGTGTTTGCCAACACGCATTGGGGCAGCGCGGCGGAAACTTTCTTACCCTTAAACCCTCTCAGAAATGAGGGGAGGCCTGTGCCCATTCTGGGACGTATAATAGGCTGTAACTTTAACTTTTAACTAAAGCTAAAATGCATATATAAAGTCACGTTATAAGTCCTTCTAATGTGACAAGTAGTTATCTAACGTGACAAAGTCACGATGACTTTTCACTGTGACATTTTCGTAACCGGAACGATGTTCACGGTTATTTAAAATAAACCTTTTCCCCGAGTCTCTTATGGCATCCACAAGATGATATGGATATTCATGCACCGCCACTACGAGGTAATTAATAATTTCTGAAAACATTTTATTCATCGACAACGTCTTGCAATCGTCGTTTCTCTAGCGCTCACTTGACCTTCATACAAATAATTCAATATTTTAATTGTTGATATTTTTTTTATTTTAAGATAAAACGTAGTAAAATTAATTGACAAAATGACTCTACGTTATTTTTAGATTTAGCAAAAAAATACATTGTCCTTATCTGACCATAGCTCTGACTGAGTTGATCCAATAAAATGTCAGGGCCTGAGTGATACAACCTTGTATATATTATACAGGTCAGTGGGTACAACAATAAATACTGCATCATAGACTAATGCAGGGTGATGCAACTCTGTATGAAATCCGAGAAACTTGCACTCAATTATAATTTTATATATGTGTGGATTGGGCGTGTAAAAGTAAAGTGAGAAAAAGATATCGCTGTTTCTTTCTTTCGCGTTGTTTCAGATTGCCATTTTAAAAATTAGATACAATGATACATGTTAGATCGGAAGAAACTGAAAATGTTAATTCTGTGTTAAACTTTTATTTGGTTGCTCATTAGGGTATATTTACATACACCTATTAATTAATTAAAATTTAATTATTGAATATAAGCAGAATTCTATCAAAAAAGTCATTGATTAAAAGAAGAAAAAAAATTACATTTGTTTGTTAACGTCTTTCATATTGAAAATATTTTCTGAAAATGATGCAATTCTATTTAATAGGTGTAGAATTAATAATAGCGTTTAGCTTAAATTCAGTTATTATCGGTTCAGAATACTTAATTTTCGTTTGTAGGCATTTCTTACCGTGTAAAGATCTTTTGTGAAATGTTGACTTTGTATGACATATTGACTAAGTATAAATCAATTTATTACTTAAAAATATTATGCACGATGTGTGATCAGAATAGACCGTATAGAAGTAAATTAAGCGTTGTGCAAACAAAATGCACAGTTATGTGATCACTTTCTGCAGTTTTCCTATTATTATATTCTTTAGTTCTAGTTTTTCTTCTATTGAAGAAGAAAAATTGTTGACAATATTGTGGTCTTTAAAATATAAGTCTTTAAGCATTTTGAATTTATTGATCGTTATTTGTAGGGATTATCACTATATTAATTTCAATTTTATCTGTTTCAGATCATGTTTTGGGCTGAGTTAAGATCTCATTATCAGAATTTTGCTAATTTGCAATAAAAATATATATCAATAATAATATATAATCTATAAAACAATCTCTTCCAAAAAATTAAATTACATAACTATACCTATTTTTAGTTTTTTTTTATCCCACGTACTCCTCTAAAGTAAATTCGAGTAATTTTGGTGCAACCTCTCAAATGTATGGGAATTCAGCCAATGGTTTTGTGAGGCTCGAGCTACAATTACTCAAATTTATCTTAAATAAACATAAAGTTTAAAAGTTACAGAATACAAGGTTTGAAATTCCCGCTACAAAAGTTTTATATGGGCACCCACCGTGGCGCTTTTAGTGTGCACTCATGAACACGTGTTTCCTTTTTTAGTATTAAGTTGTTGTTCTTCTCTCGGTAGAGAGTAATTGTGTTCTGTGGGCTAATGTTACATAGTTTTGCTAAGTTTTGACACAAGTACAGTAACCCCAATGTAATATTTTTATTTTTGGAAGGGCGTACTTGCGAAACACTAAACAATTTGGTTGTTATTTTCTTGGCTAATCTAATGTTCGAAGAATTCTGTTACAGAGTAGCAATAAAAAAAAATAGAAAATACACTACACAATTAGCAGGTCTGTATCATCAGGTGCATCTTGACGGTAGTTGACGCGGACGTGTCGGCAAACATAGCCAACTGCCTCCATCACGGGTGCTACAGTGGCCGCCATGCAGGACTGCACTAGTGTACGGAGTGACGCGAAGTATATCTTCAAGCACCTCAAACATGGCGTTGAGCACCATATTTGCTGCAATGTTAACAAGAGTTTTTATAATGTGTATACATAACTAAGTTTTAACCGTGCCGTCGTCTGCAGGAAGCCTGATAGCAAAATAGTTTCCAATGGTGATGATGACTACTTGCATAAGAAATAATTTTTCCTTATATCAAAAACTATTTGCGAGAAAATATCAAAAATTAAAATGAATATATATTAATTTTACGTTTAAAATGTCATATCACCATAATGAGCCTTTATCAGTTACTATTTGTTGTAAAATGGGTTGAAGTAATAGTTCAGGGTCGGATTGAGGGCGACTAAATCTAGTCCAGTTCAATCCCCAGAAGGCACAAGTTTGTGCGTTTGCCGCTAAAAGGAATCCCATTGTCGTGTCTCCTCCATTTCAAGGCACTCCCCTTATTGCTTCAGCCAGTATCGGAATCCTTGGCGTTGACATATCGAGTGACGTGCAGTTTCGTGATCACTTGGAAGAGAAAGCCAAATTGGCCTTTAAAAGCTTGGCGTACTTAGCAGAGCGGGACAGTATTTCATGCTGGTACACTGTCTGCAACTTTACAAGGCGCAGGTTCGGCCTCACATGGAATACTCTTCCCATCTCTGGGCAGGGGCTCCCCAGTGCCAACTTCTTCCACTTGACCGAATCCAGCGCAGAGCGGTTCGAATCATCGACGACCGAGTTCTTTCCGATTGGCTTGACTCACTGGCACTGCGTAGAGATTTTTTTTTATAGGATAAGGGTGATAAACGAGCACACAGTCCACCTGATGGTAAGTGGTTGCTGTGGTCCATAGACATCTACATTTATCCTCGATTACGAATCAAAATGCAGATGCGTTGTTACCCGTGAGGACTAAGATGGAATGCCTCGTTTCCAGTAAAAAGGGTCTCCGGTTCTCTACACTCACCATACGAAACACAGCTGCATCAAGCTGCTATTTTACGTTGGTATTCTGTGAGAGCGTGGTCCTTCCCCGGTCGAGCCGACCCATTCGTGCTACAACTATACCAGAAATATAGCTGCAGCATGGCTCTACCACGTAACTTGCATCTCTTTGCGTATTTTATCGCATGTACCACGGGAAGTGCTCTGAGGAATTGTTCGGACTAATTCCAGCCGCTCAATTTCACCATCGCACATCGCGACAAAACTCATGATACCATTTGGACGATTAGCGGGCGACCACTGTGCGATTTAGAAGATGTTTTCTTTCTCGCACAACTTCCCCGTGGAATCGATTACCATTAGCGATTTTTCCGGACCGATACGACTTAGGGACCTTCAAGAAAAGAGCCTACTCCTTTTTAAAAGGCCGGCAACGCATCTGCAATTCCCCTGGTGTTGCAGTTGTTCATGGCGGCGGTAGACATTTACCATCAGGTAAGCCGCATACTCGTTTGCCCCCTCTCCTACAAACGTAAGGTACGTTAAAGAGCGAAATTAAACTTTTTTCACTTTCCCTCTCCCTTCAGCTTAAGGGTCACCCCTCCGTGCTCCAGAAAGTGTCCCGAAGTGCGGTTTTTTCCACTTCTAAAAAAACCGTACTCTATACATAAAAAGTGTGCAGGTATAAAATGATCCTCGATAAATTTGCTATCCCCATTTTATACACACAAAAGCGATATCACTAATGATTTCCGCGCAATCTGCCACAAAATATGACTTTTTTAATCATTTATCGATTTTTGCTCAAACTTCAGTTTTCTCAAAAGGTTTACCACTCTACCGCACTAATTTTGTTCAGGTTTATGTTAATGTATTCTCAGTTTTTTTCGAACATACCGAGAACAAAATGTAACATGCAATGTTGTGTTTATTAAATAACGGTAAAAAGTACGAGCAAAATATTAGCATTCCAATCTATGCAAGAATAAAAAATGTCAATTTTACTAAGCACCGCATGGGGAAATCACCCAATTGCAGTAGTAGTACGTGCAATCCGACTTCTACCACCTTTTACCATCACCACATTTTCTCCATCAAATGTCTCATGCTATAGCTGTAGATTTTATTCAATCTTCGAAATATATGTATTATCTCGGCTTCTTCCCTGTGGTATGCGACAGAAGTCTTGGAAACATTTGTAAGTTCTTATAAAATTAGAGTCCAAAAAAAAGTTCGCAGTCCACAAATGTTAGGGTAAATTTCTATTGGATAGAAGTATGATTATGTGATTCCCCGTGTAGTGGCGGGTAAGAATACCCACTACCCCATATCTCCCCGCGGGTGTCGTAAGAGGCGACAGAGAGAAACTGAGGCAGAAGATGGGCAGCAGCATCTTTCTGATAACAGCAAAACAACAATAAAAAAACTGCGGTTGCCAACCCGCTCGCCAAGCGTGGCAACTATGGCAATATACCCCCCCATGATAGTAACGAAGAGACGGCCCCCAGTCCCCGGCGGCCCCGCTATTTCTGGCTACGGTGGACATTTGCAGGGGCAGCTGTAGGCCGTAACAGTAGGTAATAGTAAGTATTTACATTTTCTTTTGAATACACGTTCGGGGTCGCTAAAGATGTCGATATCATGATTGTTTAAGCTGTTATAAGTTCGCATACATCTATTTAACGGTGAAAACTTACCAAGATTGGTTCTACTGAAGGGAATATTTAATAAATTGGTAATTGGGTGTCTAGGGATATGATAGGGGATTTTAAGGCACACTTGCTGCAATAAACTTGGTGACACTAACTTACCGTGTAGAAGTTTATGTAGCGTCATTAGGTCTAAAAGTTTTCGTCAGTCTGCCAGTGAACTCATTTCGAGATGAGAAAGCCTAGATTTATAGTCAGTATAGTATGGACAGTTTTGAAATTTATAAGCGATAAATCGAGTGAAGTTTTTTTGAATACGCTCGATTTTGTCAATGTGTATTTTATAAGAAGGATTCCATATCACTGTGGCATATTCTAAACTGCTACGTATTAATGCATTGTAGATAGTTATCAGAGTGTGAGTTTTTTTGAAGTCCATGACCGCGTTACCATGTTATCTATATGTTCTATGAAGCTAAGTTTATTATCAAGAACTAGCCCAAGATCACGGGATAATGGGAGACTTCAACGCAAAACTAGGCACAAGAGAGAACGGTGAGCTGAAAGTAGGGAAATTCGGAATAGGGCAACGGAACCCAAGGGGCCAGCACCTGGCAGACTTCATGGAGAAAGAATGACTCTTTATGATGAACTCTTTCTTCCAGAAGCGGCCTCACAGGAAGTGGACCTGGTCGAGCCCCGACGGTTCGACAAAAAATGAGATTGACTTCATTATGACGACCAGACGACAACTGTTCAGTGATGTCTCAGTGATCGCGAGGGTGAAAACCGGCAGCGATCACCGAATGGTGTGAGGCACACTGAACCTAATCGTTAAGTTGGAGAGGTCACGTCTAATGAAGTCAACGCTCCGTACCCCTCGTGCTCTAATCCAGTCCCGAACCCTTTCAGCTCGAGCTACGAAACCGTTTTCAGTGCCTAGAAGATTGCAATGCAGTGGACGATATGAATGACAAGCTCGTGGAAACTGTCCATACGGTCGGAGCTAAGTGTTGTAAGACCCGCCGCAGAAGAACACAAAAACTCTCCGATCACACTCTTAATCTGATGGCTGTTAGACGGGATATGAAGCTGCAGTCTTCAGTAGATTTGACAGCATACAGGCAACTGAACGGACAGATCTCCAAATGCATGCGGCAGGACTTACGTAACTTTAATACTGCTCGTATTGAAGAAGCGATCGAGCGGAACCAGGGCTCCAGTCTTTGCCAGAGATCTGTCTGCCAGAAAGAGCCAACTGTCGAAGCTGAAGACCGAGTGCCACAAGCAAGTGTAAGTAACGATCCAAGAGCGAGTCTTATCCGACACTATTCCGATGTTATCCCGGACGTCAGTCTGAACGAGATTAGAATGGCTCTCCAGCACCTTAAAAACGCCAAGGCCCCAGGCGAGGATGGAATTACAGCGGAGCTTCTGAAAGCGGGTGGAAAACCGGTACTTGAAGTCCTTCAGAATCCGTCCTCCATGGTGGCATTACACCGGAGGCGTGGAGCAGAAGTGCGGTGATCTTGTTCTTCAAGAAAGGCGACAACGCTCTCTTGAAGAACTACAGACCGATTTCCCTTCTGAGCCGCGTCTACGTGCTGTTTTCGAGAGTCATTACGAATCGTCTCGCGCGCAGACTTGACGATTTAAAGCCTCCCGAACAAGCCGGTTTCCGAAAAGGCTTTAGCACCATAGACCACATACATATCCTTCGGCAAATTGTACAGAAGTCCGAGGAGTACAATTTGCCACTATGTCTGGCGTATGTGGACTATGAGAAAGCCTTTGATTCCGTCAAAATTTGGGCGGTGCTGCAGTCCCATCAGCGGTGCCAAGTTGACTATCGGTGCAAAGTGCTGAAGTGCTTGTACAAGGAAATGAAATGAAATGAAGATTTATTTGCTTTGAAAAAGGGGTACATTTAGGTGGTTATTATAAAGAGTAGTTCAGCTTTTCCAGTCATCTATAATAGCATGCAAAACCATTTATATAATTAAATTTATTACAGTACAATATTAAATTCAATTAAAATATTTATCATATATAATATATAATTACTATTGTGTCACATCATGTCAAATTTAGGTAGTCATTCACATTATAAAAACAGTTTTCATTTAGCCATCTGTAAAAGGCGCCTTTAAATCTATTAAGGGGTAAGTCTTTTATAATTTGGGGTATTTTATTAAATATGAGAATACACATCCAGTAGCAGTTTTTTTTTAAATCGAGCACTCTTGTGTATAATTTCAGCAGCAAGTCTATTGCCATTTCTGGTATTTCGTGTATAAATCTCTTTCGCTTGTCTGAAACAATACATGTTTTGTTTTACAAACTTTGCAATTTCAAAAATGTACAGGCATGGGAGGGGTAGTATTTTCAAAGATTATAATATAACGGCCAGCAAGGCTCATCAGGTGCAGTGTCACATATTGCTCTAATACATTTTTTTTTTTTGGGCAATGAATGCCTTTTTTGCATCTGTGGTATTAGCCCATATAATGAGTCCGTATCGCAAAACGGATTCGACAAAGGCAAAGTACGCAGTAAGTGCTGTATTTTTTTTGGCTACTTTGCGTAGTTTGTAAAGTGCGTAGGAAAATCTATTAATTTTTTTACAAACATTTTCAACTTGACTTTTCCAATTTAGTTTATGATCTATCCATATACCTAGGAATTTTGTCATATTTGTACTTTTTAGGTTTTGTCCTTCGAAATTAATGTTCATTATCTGGCCTACGATGACTGCAGAAGCAGAGTACGAAACCTATCCAATTGCAAAGAGGTGTAAGACAGGGTGACGTTATATCCCCGAAACTCTTCACCGCTGCATTGGAAGACGTTTTCAAGCTTCCGGACTGGAAAGGATACGGTATTAACATCAATGGCGAGTACATCACTCACCCTTGATTTGCCGACGATGTAGTCCTTATGGCAGAATCGCTGGAGGACCTAAGCACTATGCTCAATGACCTCAATAGTGTTTCCCAACGGATAGGTCTTAAGATGGACATGGACTAAACTAAGATCATGTTTAATGTCCATGTCACACCTATGCCGGTAGTTGTTGGGAGCACTAAGCTCGAAGTTGTTGACGAGTATGTTTACCTGGGACAAATAGTCTGACTAGGTAAGTCCAACTTCGACCGAGAGGTCAATTGACGGATTCAACTCGGTTGGGCAACGTTCGGGAAATTACGGCGCATCTTCTCATCGCTATCCAGTGCGCTGCGAGTGATGACCTATGGAACTGAGACGTGGTCCTTCACTGCTGGCCGAATGAGGAAGCTCAAGGTCGCTCAGTGAGCTATGGAGAGGGCTATGCTCGGAGTTTCTCTGCGTGATAAACTTAGAAATTAGGATATCCGCAGTAGAACCAGAATGACCGGCATAGTCCAACGGATTAGTTAGTTGAAGTGGCGATAGGCCGACCGACAACCGATGGGGAAAAAAGTTCTCGAGTGGCGGCCTAATACCGGCAGAAAAAGTGTAGGGCGTCCCCCACTAGATGGAGTGACGACCTGGTAAGGCATTCCTTGGGAAAGCCTATGTTCAGCAGTGGACTTGTGAAGGACTGTAATGTTGATTATGATGATGAATAAGCAAGCTCTGCCTACCCCTCTGGGAGACAGACGTGAGTGATTGTGTGCCCAACTATAGTCCAACGGATTAGTAAGCTGAAGTGGCAATGGGCCGGTTATATAACTCGAAGAACCGAGAACCGATGGGGAAAAAAGGTTCTCGAGTGGTGGCCTCGTACTGGCGGACGAAGTGTAGGGCGTCCCCCCACTAGATGGAGTGACGACCTGGTAAGATATGCAGGAAGTCGATGGATGCAGGTGGCCCAGGAGCGTGCTTTGTGGCATTCCTTGGGGGAGGCTTATGTTCAGCAGTGGACTTGTGAAGGGCTGTAATGATGATGAAATGATGGGAAGGATTATGTACGAACTTACACCTGATGGCAAAAAATGGTGGTATACATAGGAAAATTATAAATTTAAACAGCTAGCGATGGGCAAGTGAAAAAAAATATCGATATATATATATCGTATCCATATTTTTAAACATTATCGTTATATATTGCGTGATAAATATGGATATATCGATATATCGTCGTGTTTTGCATGATGTAGTAGAATAAGGGCCAAAATTTTATTACTAGACGGTTGAACAAGGAAAAAAGGCACATGAATGCTTTTGTAGCTGCTTTTTTCGATTAATACAACATTTTCAAATATCATATCGACATTGATACGAATTCCATACTCTAAAATAAATATCGATATATCGCGATTAAACTATCGACGATATATACCGATATGTTTATGAGAAAATCAATATTTTTTACCGAAGCCTACAAACCCCACAGACTGTTCTAGGGGAACAGTATTGTTAGAGCGAGACTATCATGTTTTTTCTCACCAATCTATCTTCTTGGTTATGACTATGGACTAATTATTGCGACCCTGAAACTAAAGGAGAACTTAAATAATTATTGAGATCAAGGCAGCAATTTGGTATTTGGTTGAGCTAGGTAACGAGTTGTGCCCCCCCCCCCCCCCGAACGGGTCCCCCCTTGTTGTGGCGGGGGGGCTTAGTAGCTGTGGCTTGGTCACCCGCGGTGAACAAAGAGGAACCCCTTGGCTGGCCCGTGGTGTAGGGCCGGCCCGAGGAGGTCACTCCGAGTGGGCTTGACGAGCCCACTTCGGATGTGTGTCGGTGGGCTGCGGTGAGAGGGGTGTCCGCCCCATCTACCGCTGCAGCTGAGAAGGAGTCGCGGAGGAAGAGGAGTGTTGGTATGGCGATGCGCCACTCGCCCTATCCTCCGCGACTCAAACGGGGCCGCACCGTTGATGCGGTGGTGGTGGGGCCGCGGGGGAGAGGAGTATCGGTATTGCGAGGCACCGCTCTCCCTACCCTCCGCGGCCGAAACTTGGTTGGCGGCGGAGCCAGAGACCAGATCCGCCGCTGGGGTCAGGAAGGCTGGTGCTTCTGAGTGCTTTTTCCTGGCCCCATGGCCTTCGTGCATCGGACACGGGGCGTCCTCTCCTGAGGAGAGGCCGCCATGGGGCGGCCAGCGCAGGTGGGGCCGCGGATGTGTGCGAAAGCGTTCCCGTGGCCCTGCCAATATGCGACGAGGGTGGAACACCATGGGGTTTTAGTCGGTGCGAGTCCGACATAACCCGTCCTTGCCCCCGCGAGGCGGGTATGCGTAGGCATTTCCCCATGTAAAAAAATAAATAAAAAGGTAACCAGTTGTGTACCGTGTAGTGATGGTGTAAGAGTATTCACTACTCCATATCGTCCCGTGGGTGTAAGGGGCAACAGAGTGAAATTAAACAGGAGATGGGCAGCAGCATCTTCCTGATAACAACTCAAAAGGCGACTGCTAAGTGTGACCGCTATGGCATACCCCTTCTATGTGACAATCTAGGGTAAACCTATGTTTAGCAATGGACTTTTATACGCTGAAATCAACTCATGGAACCAGTTGTGTAAATTACCTGTCGGCATATACAAAAATAGGTACTAGTCACCATGTAGTCTCTTTAATAACGGATGTGGTCAAAACAAGTACATATAATAGTTCTTTCTTTGTAAAACGACAAACCATTTGTTGGCATTCTGATTATTATTTTGCAATAACCGGTCAAGATTGCAGAGAAGGTTAATATAGGTATATGGTACGGTATGGTATGGTATAGGTGGTGGTAGGTGATTTTTTTTAATAAATTATGGTAAAAATTTATTAAAAAAAATCTCAAACATTCTATCCTTTTTATCTTTCACACTCAAAATGCGTGGTAATGCATTATTTTAACTGATTTCACTGCGCACGCACACATTTGTAAGGGTCGATCGGTAGTCAAAAACGTTGTTGCCCATAAATCACATTCAATTTGGAATAATTTCAATTAAATGTAGAAACCTTATTTACTCGTATTTCCAAAATTGCAATATCGGCACTTCATTATTTATATATTTGTACTTAAGTTTAAAATTTGGCTACTCTTTGAAAAATAACCCTGTAGATTTTCGTATAGTACAGACTTTCGTTTCTAATTTTTTTTAACTATATCCGCGATTGGTAGTCGCTGCTGGTGTTAAGAGAGCTGGTTCGTGTCTCGCTCAAAGGCTACGAGTATAGCCATTTAGCGAGAAAACGCAGCCAACGTTCTTGGCACTTTACCACTGGAAGTTTTTTTTTTATTATAGCCTTTTAATATTGTATATAATATTTAAATGTTACGTAAATAAATGTATTATACTTTCTTTTATCTAGTATCCATATCCCAACAGTACTCACCTCGAAAGCAAGGCATGCGAAGCCGCAGCCTAGGATCAGTGCGCAGGGCGGTGCTACCAGTACGGCCAGAAGCGTGTAGCAGGCGTTGCGCGAGTGCCGGAAACACACGTGGCTCAAACGCCAAGCACACTCCGGGCTTCGAGCACCTTCCGGCTCACCGATCACGTCGTCCCACACTATCTGCGCGATCCAATAATATTAGACAAGACATAATTTATACTTGGTAGAGCCAAGCTGCAGCAATATTATGGTTGTAGCACGAATGGGTCGGCTAGACTGGGGTAGAACCACGCTCTCACAGAATATAAGTAAATAACAACCTAATGCAGCTGTGTTTTGTATGGTGAGTGCAGAGAACCAGAGACCGTTTTTACTGGAAAAGTGGCATTAGTTCTCGGAGATGACAAGGCATTTGCATTTTGATTCTTATCGAGGATAAATGTAGATGTCTATGGGCCACAGTAACCACTTACCATCAGGTGGACTGTGTGTTCGTTTGTCACCCACATTCTAAAGTCAGGGCTTGGGCGCGAAATTGATCGCCGGCAGGTTGTTGCTCCGTTGTTGTCGTTTAAATGATGTTCTGATACTTGGTAATGATGAGTCGAGGCAGTGTGTTCTAAATGAACACCGATGGCGATTATGCATCACCATGTATAACATGCAGACAGACAGAAGCGTCGTGTATTACGTGTAGAAACATGTTCATAGTTCCTCCATAATAAATAAGAAATAAAATAAACGTAAACTACTGTGATATCCTAACTAATTTTAACCAATTATATCTAATAGATTTCACCAGTCGTGGTCACTTCATGAGTAGTCAGAAACTGTCAACTGTTCAGGAAATATTGTAGCACCACAACACTGACCTCTATACAAGAACCAAGAAGTATTGTGATGATACTGACTAGCTCTAGTGCGATAACATTGGCGACAGTTCCATAGAGACCCAGTGTTAATGGAAAGAGGTTCACGCATTGAGTTATATGTACTACGTACTAGAGAAGCCATTCCAAACAAAAATTGTGTCCTACTCTATTTCTTCGCCCATGCGCGGGGATAGTAGTCGCGCATGCGCGAAAATTTTAATTTGATATAAAATAAGATATTAATATAAAATAAATATAGGAATTTAATATAAAATATCTTAATTAAAGCTAAACAAACATATTTCTAAATAAAGTGTAATAATAATTATTTTATGGAATTCACAAATTAGTTTGTACGGATTGCAGTACAGTTCAATTGAGCATAGTCAATGTTCAGAATGGCTTCTCTAGTACGTAGTACAAATAACTCAATGGGTTCACGCATATTGTATCTGTATGAAATTAACCGTGTAGTGGCGGTGTAAGAATATCTACTACCCCATATCGTCCCGTAGGAGTTATAAAGTACGACAGACGGAAACTGAAATAAGAGATGGGCGGTAGCATCTTTCTGATAACAATTCAAAATAAAAATAAAAAACAGCAGTTGCTATTCCGCCTGCCAATCGTGACAACTATGCCAAAAGCCTCGCTATGAGGCAATCTATGGCGGAGGCCTTTGTTCAGCGTTGGACTTTTATAGGATGTAATGATAGTAATTACCATTCATAATACAAGCAAGGTAGAGCCATGTTGCAGCTATATTGTGGATGCAGCATGAATGGGTCGGCTCGACCAGGGTAGGACCAAGCTCTCACAGAATACCAGCGTAAAATAGCAGCTTAGTGTAGAGAACCGGAGACCCTTTTTACTGGAAACGAGGCATTCCATATCAGTCCTCAGGGGTGACAACGCATCTGCATTTTGATTCTTAATTGAGGATAAATGTAGATGTCTATGGGTCACAGCATCCACTTACCATCAGGTGGACTGTGTGTTCGTTTGTCACCCTTATTCTATAAAAAAAAATATTGGATATATTCGGTGATGTACGGAAAAGAAATTCGACGTCAGATAGTCTATCTTTGGTACATAATCCTCACTGGGTTCTCTACCTTTCTCGTGTTTCACCGTTCGTGGGCGGGGTCGACACTTTCCATCAGGTGAGCCACATGCCCGTTTGCCCCCACTTCTATAAAAAAATATTTATTTAAATATATCTCGGCATCCGAAGCATGACAGAATTATTACACATATAAGCCCGTACTCGCTAGAGAAACCGGGTGTTACACTCGTGTGTGTCGTTTTTATCTATGTATTTTTAGCAATTTTCAATCTGCTCGACATGATTAAAGATTACGAGAATCTAGATTAACTACAGAACCAAGCTTCGGCAGAAAACTACGCACAAAACTAGGTAAACATAAAATTAAAGTGATATTTTTTTTTATAGGAGAGGGGGCAAACGATATTAAGGGTATCTGCTTATCGGTATATATATATCCGGATTGATCTTCGCAAGTTCTTTACACAAACTACGATCAAAAATTAGTTAGATTTGGAATTCAAGACTCACAACTATTTTTTGTGTATGATTGTTATAAATACATCTTTTGTCAAAGGCGCAATATTTCAGTTTCATGTATTCTAAGGAAACAGATCTAAAGATAAATAATTTTACGTTGAATATTAAATTTGACCAACGTCAAGTAATTTAGCGGGGTTAATTTAGCGGGTGCAGTACGTACCCCGGGCACCGGTCACGCAAATAAATACTCCTTTGTTATTTGTGTTTTCTTGCGTAATGGTCTAGCGACTTTTCTTTGCTGTTTTATGAAAGTTTATTTATAGTTATAATACGTTTTCTACGTGATAGAGCCACGCTCTATTTTATAGTTGCAGCACGAATGACTCGGCTCCACTAGGGAAGGTCCACGCTTTCTTAGGATACCCGCGTAAAATAACAACAATTAACTGCTGTTTCATATAGTTACTACCGGATACCTTTTATACTGATAACGAGGCATTTCATTTTAGTTCTCAGCAGTGACAACGCATCTACATTTTGATTTTTAATCGAGGATAGATGTAGGTCTATGTTCCACAGCATCCGTTTACCACCAGGTGGATTGTCATTTATGATAAACTGTAATATATTATTTACCATAGATCTTTCATATACAGCTTCTTTTAAATTGCGTTTAGGACATATTTTAGCTGCCTTCATGTGTCTAAAGAAAATATACATGAATCCAACTTAAGTTTCCACATGAACTTGCTGTAGTTTTTTATTTCTTAACTTTCATAACAATGGGGTTTCGGGGTTAACTTTTTTTCTTTATTTGTCTCAGTATGATTTGCCCCAGTGTGAAGTGCCATTGTTTCTATGGAACAATTAGTATAGTGTATAGCACTATAAGAAAGAGCGCTTAAAGTTTGGTTTTAGTAAAAGGTGAGTAGAGACAGCGTGCGTTTGCATATAGGTACAGTTGCATGATTGATCAAATCTCACACTCTCACAGGATACCGGCTTCAAATAGCAGCATAATGCTGCTATTTGAAGCGGCATTTCGTAAGCGTTTCCAGTATTAAACTACTAGTAACTAGTATCGTATGTGGTCGAAATTCTACCAATTGTGTGGTAACAACGCTAAGTACTTGTTTGTTTCTTTGGTAATGGACTCGTACGGTTGTACTTTTGCCAAAGTCAATAAGAAATTATCCTTTATAATAATTTATTCGCGTCAAGTTTTGGGAAATTTTGACAACAGCTTAGCCTAGCGGACGGACGCCTACTGCAGAATATCAAGTTCTTATGGAGTCTAAGCGAAAAAATAACTTGAAGATTTAATTATATTATCAATTTCATTGATAGTTCACATGTACACAAAATTGCATCACTTTTACGTATCCAAATCTTGGAATAAAAAAAACGATAGAAAAGAAGCAATAATTCACTGACGGTCAAGTTTCAGCCAAAACCCCAAGTATTTGTTTGCAGTTTGCATTTCGCCTAACTTTTTTTGGAATATTTTCAGCAGTGCAGAGAAGGCAAAGGGATCTTAGCTCTAATATAGTCACGAATGTAAAATTAACAGCCATTAATGTGATCAAAATGTTTTAGTTTAACTTATGGGTTAAACCGTTTTGTATGAATTTACCATGTGTTTTTTTATAGAATAAGGGTGACAAACAAGCACACAGTGCACTTCATGGTAAGTGGATGTTGTGGTCCATAGATCTACATCTATCCTCGATTGAGAATCAAAATGCAGAAGCGTTGTAACCCGTGAGGACTAGAATGGAATGCTTCGTTCCCAGTTAAAAGGGTCCACGATTCTATACACTCACGATACGAAACACAGCAGCAATAGGCTGCTATTTTAAACCTTTTCTTTTTGAAATCTTCAAAAGATATAATTTGACATCTTGGAGAGGATAAAGCAATATCACGCGTATTTGACATTTCCGTTGCTAATTGAGGTCAAAGAGTTTAAATAATCACTTTGAGGTGACACACGATGTAAGAGAGACGAACTATGTTACATTTCGTATTTTCTTGTATAAAATAAACGTGACAAAACGATCACACAGTCCACCTGATGGTAAGTGGATGCTCTGGCCCATAGACATCTACATCTATCCTCAATAAAGAATCAAAATGCAGATACGTTTTCACCCCTGAATAATAAGATGGAATGCCTCGTTTCCAGTAAAAGGGTCTCCGGTTCTACACTCACTCACACTACACTCACCATGGAACACAGCAGCATTAAGCTGCTATTTTACAGTGGTATTCTGTGAGAGCGTGGTCCATAGCCGATCGAGCCGACCCATTCGTGCTACAACTATAATATACCTGCAGCATGACTACCAGGTGAAATACTCTCTTATATATGAGAAATTCACTAAAGATACGCAGTACTTAAAATCAACCTTAAGACAGTCATGTCTTAAGGTTGTAATTATGGTTGTAATCGTGTATGGTAGCAGCATCTATATTATCGTGCGGTATCATCTGATGATGATACCACACGATAATGCAGATGCTGGATATGGATACGATAATTAAAATCAATTATATTATCTCTCCTAGTTTTGACGTTCACAATTTAAAATAAGTGGTTAAATAAAAAATTTTGTACAACCGACTTCAATATAAATTAAATAATTTATTGTTTTTTTTTAAAACTGCTCGACCGATTTCGATTAAATTTAAACGGGACCACTTGGGAAGTATACCCTTTGAAACAAAAAAAGAATTCTCCAAATCGGTTCAGGCGTCTTCGAGTAATCGGTAAACATACATAAAAAAAAGATTCCGACGAATTGAGAACCTCCTCTTCCTTTTTTGAATTCGGTTAAAAAGCAGATTGGCAGAGCTATCGCTAAACATTTGACTGCGGCGCTGCAGAACCTAAGGTTCGAATCTTGTACGGAACAAATGTTTGCCTATTTGAAATTTGTTATAACCCGCTTCAAGATACACAAGAAAATCATAATTTGGGGGAAAACCATTCTTTAAAAAAAAGGAATGAATATGCCTAATAATAATACCTGTACATGATGGTTTAAGCTGTGAGGATCCCTATCCTCCAAGGCTTCTCGCACGCCGCTGTCCGGTTTCCCTTCAGCCATGGTGATCCGTCGTGGAGGAGACACCACTATACGAGGAGGTTGCGTCCTCTGTACAGTCGGTTCCAGGACCGGCGGCGCAGAAGACGGCTCTAACACTTCGGGTAGCAGATTGCTCCTGAACGTATATGGCGGGTATTGCCGCGGTGGGTAGCGAGGTGGTATGTAGAATACGTCCCCTCTAAGTCCAGAGTCTTCTAGCGCCAGGGTTATTGGAATATTATCGATATCAAAATCACTACTGTTATGTTTCTTTTGTTTAAACTAAACTCTAAACCTGTTGTATAATATTTCCGTAGTATTTTTAAAGTGCAATTGATGACTTAGAGTTTGATGTAGGTACTGTTAAGGTCTTGGAGTTTCGATCGTTGCGTAGTTCCTGTTAGATACTATTTATTTAAAATATTCTTTATTAATATGCCTTTTAAATATATTATACTGATTTATTATATAGTAATGCTAATTAATTTTAGATATAAAGTTACATGAATAAATACGAAGTCACGATTAAACTTGTCGACACTAAAATATGTCAGTTGACAACACCAGCGCTATATAAGCCCACAACAATACTGAATATTTCCCTCCAAAATCTATTAGCTACGTTTTAATAAAAAAAAAGTCTTATGCGCATGTCTATAGTCTAGGAAATTACCAGGAATAATCCATTGCTGCCTCGCGCTATCATCATATAAAAACCACAGCGGGAATGCAGCAATGTATTCGTAGCATTTTACTAATTTCTTTTTATTATTTTATCAGATTCAGGCCGTTGGCCTGCTGTTTCTACCGCCTAATACGAGTGAGTTATGGTGGCAATTTTACCCGCTTTGTTTGTTCCGGATAGACTGGGGCGTGGTTGAATTCCTTTTTTTTTCACAATTTTCTATTAGGAGACTCCAAACTGAAACTATCACTTACAGACACGCACGCATATACGCACGCAAGCACGTACGCACGCACTCATATATTCACATCTCACACTGTCACTGATATAAGATTGCAAAAAATAATAGATAAGAATGTTAGCTAATTAATAGTGCCATATCACGAACCGTGTGGTAGCGATGTAAGTATATCCATTACCCCATATCGTTCCCTGCGTGTTGAAAGACAAAGGGAAACTAAAACAGAAGATGGGTAGCAGCATATTCCTGATAACTGCCAAGCCTGGCAACTATAGCAAAATCCCATGATATGAGGCAATCTATAGGCGAGACTTATTGTTCAGCAGTGGAATTTCTAATGCAGTATAGGATTGTATATCACGTTTTTAGTAATAACCCAAAATAAAAAAGTCAAGAAGTTTAAAATATAAAATGGCGGATGAGTTTATCATTTGGTTAGAGGACGTAGAAATAATGCAACAGTTCCTTAAAAATATTTTATTGCATCGTCTTTCAATTCTTACATCATTATATACACATATCAACGGATTATTTCTATTTATGTACATATCTTAATATCAATTTTGTAAAGAAAGAAATTAAAATAAGATAGTTTTACACATTAATATTTTTTTTGTAAGTGGAGTAAATTTATTTTAATATAAATTATGTATGCGATGAATTATTAACAAAGATATGCCTTATATATTGAGCGGCTAACTATAAAAATACATACATTATTTATGTATTGCACCATAATATTTTATTTTAGTGTTCAATTAATATTAAATCTATTGAGCTATGGAGAGGAGGACTATGCTCGGAGTTTCTCAATTCGAAATGAGAATGATAATATCCACAAAAATAGCAGATCACAGAGTACGTTATAAAGTGGAGTAACCGACATAACCCAATGGAACAGTAAGTTTAAAGTGGCAATGGGACAGCCATATATATTTTATACGTGGTAGAGCCATGCTGCAGCTATATTAGTAGTATAGTTGTAGCACGAATGCGTCGGCTCGACCGGAGAAGGACTACGCTCTCACAGAATACCAGCGTAAAATGGCAGCTTAACGCTGCTGTGTTTCGTATGGTGAGTATACAGAACCGGATACCCTTTTTACTGGAAAAGAGACATTCCATCTGAGTCCTCACGGGTGAGAACGCATCTGCATTTTGATTCTTTATTGAGGATAGATGTAGATGTATATGGGTCACAGCAATCACTTACCATCATGTGGACACTATGCTCGTTTGTAACCCTATCCTATAAAAAAATATAGCTCGAAGATCTAACAACCGATGGCAGAGAAACGTTCTCGAGTTGTAGACCATTTCGTAACTTTACTCTTAATTTTACGTGTTAACGAGCACACAACCACCTGATGGTAAGTGGATGCAGTGACTATTTATCCTTGATTAAGAATGAAAATGCAGATGCGTTGTCTGTCACCTCTGAGGTTTTTTTTATAGGGTAAGGGTGACAAACGAGCACACAGTCCACCTGATGGTAAGTGGTTGCTGCGGCCCATAGACATCTACATCTATCCTCTATTACAATTCAAAATGCAGATGCGTTGTCACCCGTGAGGACTAAGATGGAATGCCTCATTTCCAGTAAAAAGGGCCTCCAGCCACCTGCACTCACCAAGCGAAACGCAGAGGTAAACCTCTACTTCACGCTGGTATTCTCTGAGGTCATGGTACCATCCCGGATCGAGCCGGCCCATCCGTGCGACAGCAAAAGCCGCCACGTGGCTGTACCACTGTTAAGATACAATGCCTCGTTTCCAGTATAGAGAGCCTCTGGTTCTGTATACTCACCGTACGAAACACAGCAGCATTAAGCTGCTATTTTACGGTATTCTGTGAGCACAAAATTAATTAATTTTTAATAGTTTTCTTTTAAATAAAGCAGCACGAATGACTTGTCGCTTTTCTGTACTGTAATTGTACCAGTATGTAAACTAGCCAACGTATTGAAAGTCCATCGATCAAGGCAGTCATTAGGTCGTCGCACGGTCACATGCCCGCTAACCCACTTTCGGGGCACCCGTCCCTTGTACCTATTACTACTGCTTTACTACTAACCTGTGATTATAATCACATTGTTGTAATGTATGTACACAGCGACTTTTGCGTGGTTATAATCGATTTGCGTCTAGCGTGTTAGATATGTAAATTTTCTGTGGTTTTTTCTCTTTCTATGCTCTAAAAGTTGTTAATTATTTGTTAGAGTTACGTGTAGTGAAAATTATAATTAAAAGTAATGAAAAGTTATAAAATATGAATATGCTAAGTATATATACTTTACATTCAGTAGCGCCCTCTGCAAAATATGTTACCTCTAAAGAATTTGTTCTTTAGAGGTCTTTATCTTTAAATAATGATTTAAAATGCGTTAAAATTACGTTTAAGCGCATTCAATCTTAAATTACTGAAATATTTGACATTTCTTAGCACCTCCATTATTATATATTTATAAGTTAGTATAGATACATTTTATATTCTATATTAAAGCTTCAGTAAACGCTTATGAATGGAAGACGACATCTATTGCGATTGTATTTATATTAATATGTACTTACAGACTTACAGTAAAACTTAAGGTAAAGTTATGAAATTTATTTTTCATATTTATCCAATTCCTAAATAGAAATAACATTATAAATATTCGAAAAACATCGAATACGTAATGCCTTATTACTAACTGTTACCTATATTGTTAAATAAATTATAATATGACAAACAAAAGTGAATCTGTAATAACAGCTAGTTAGAATCTGGCTCGCAAAATAATCTCTCATATGTTAGACATGTGTCATTCATTCATTTTTAGTGACCCGATCATTCAAGTATTACTTCGTCTTACGAACCAGGTCATTAGGGTCGATAGTTCAAAAGGATCATTTCGAGTTTCAAAAACATCTGTGATCTGTGAGATACGCACGATAATGTCGGTCGTCGGACATTACGTCGATCAGGAATGTTCAAAAAATTTAATTGCAATCATACTTTGACGCGACCTGGGACAAATGAACCAATTATTCACGATTAACACATGTCTAATGTTAGTAATGACACATGCCGTAAATTACTTAACACTATTTAGATTATAGCAGTTCCATATTTCAAGTAAAACGTATACGTTGAATGAATTCTATACGAACAAACTTAAATGTAGTTTGTCAAAAACACGTGTAATTTCAAAATTATTCATCATTTTTAAATTCGTAATATTTTAGTGTGATTTACTTTAATACAAAGTCAGTTCGAAATTACAACTTTTCTTTTCTTCAAAACGTGTGCAGGAAAGGAGTGTTATGAGATGCGCACTGCGTGAAGGTCGGTCAACGAATGGCAATAGCGGGCCGCGCGGGACCGGCGGGCCGCAGCGTGGGCACGATTGCAGGCTCCTCTGCTTCTAAGCCGTCCCCTGTCGTCTCGTCGCACTCTCTGTTGAAAGTCACCAAACCATACAATACTATACTATCTGTTAGTGTCATTTCTTATAGAATAAAGGTGACAAACGAGCACACAGTTCACATCACTGTAAGGGCAATCCGTGGCCCATAGACACCTACATTGATCCTCGATTAAGAATTAAAATGCAGATGCGTTGTCACCTCTGAAGATTAAGATGGAATGCCTCATTTCCATTAAATAGGGTCTCCGGTTGTCTACACCATACAAAACACAACAACATTAAGCTTCTATTTTACACTGTTATTCTGTTAGAGCGTGGTCCTTCCTCATTGCATCAGCAGCCATAAAACGTTTCACCGCATTGAAGATCAATTTCAAGATTCGTGTTAACAGTTAAGTATACACGAAAATTTTGAAAAGCAATATCAACTAAAACTGTTTATGATTTTTTTTTAATTAACTCTTTTTCTCCTTAGTACTCCGGTAAGTATCACCCTGTTACCTAGTTCTGCCGCCGTTGCACTTCTGTGTTCCGGTGTAAAGAGTAAAGCGAGCCAGTATAATTACAGCGTTTTACATGGTAGAGCCATGCTGCAGCTATATCAATAGTATAGTTGTAGCACGACTGGGTCGGCTCGATCGGGGAAAGACCACGCTCTCACAGAATACCAGCGTAAAATAACAGCTTAATGCTGCTGTGTTTCGTATGGTGAGTGTAGTGTAGATACCCCTTTTACTGGAAAAGAGGCATTCTATCTTAGACCTCACGGCTGACAACGCACTTGCATTTTAATTCGCAATCGAAGATAGATGTAGATGTCTATGGGCGACAGCAATCACTCACCATCACGTGGACTGTGTGCTCGTTTGTTACCCTTATTCTATATAAAAAAAGTATGTGAAACATTACATCTTAGTCTTCAAAGGCGACAACGCATCTGTAACCTAATTAGTTTGAAATTGGCTGCAGGTGTCTATGGACTATAGTAGCCATTTACCATCAGCTGGACGGTAAGTTCGTTTGTCACTGTATTTTGATACTAAATATAACACGAATAAAGTATAAAATTATTAGTAAACGTTAATAAAGTCACAGTATGCAAGCAAAATAAAGGTAATATCAAAATACAATTTTAATTCTCTTTTAAGCAATAGTTTAATGCAAGGCCTTTGACAAAAGGAGAACCCTCAAAGACGGGTTCTTTTACCTGCTCGGCGACGAAGTTATACATAGAATACCATATTGTGTACGTATTATAGTATTCTATGGAGTTATCGTTTTTCTACCCTCAAAACCTTACAATTTACATCAATGTATTTTATGAAAATCGCACTAGACAGTTGTTTTTATATATTCATAGATATTATGGAGCAAAACATGGAGTATAGAAAACTTTACTCCATGTCTATAACTTTCAACGCACATATTCTTAAACCACTACGAGTATCATCGATCACTAATAAAAAACTACAAACACAATCAGTGACAAAAATGTCCTTACCGAATGAGCGCCTACTCGAACATTTGGGTGCGCTATTAATTTGTACGTAGCTTTGTGAATACAACTTTAGGCAATGCATTTAAGGTTGAATTTACATTAATGTATATTTATTTCAACTAGAATTACGTCAAAACAATTGGCGACAGTTTTTAGAGAACTTTTGCATGTGATTGTGTATCTAGTTTTTATTAGTGATCGATGCCTACTATTTATAAATAAGCAACTACGTAAGTTTTATTGCTATTTTTTAATACAAGCAGACATAAAGCACTCACCTTGTTGCCAGTCGTATGCAGTTAGTGGTTATAAAGGCACTACAACTCGATATCACATCACCACCTTGGGAACATAGGAATACCACGTTAGCCTCACTTACCACGTACTGTCTAAATTACTTATTACTAGGTTTAGTGCAAGCATTTTGTATTCGTGCATTTAGTGCCTAAATTAAGAAGCGTATACAAGGTTTAAAGGAATATTATTCGAAACCTTCAAATATAAGGCCAAAACAAACAAAAGCTTAGCTTCAAAAGAGCCCCTTTGGTCAGGTGTCATAATGGGCGATAATGGAAAGTGGCATTTGGATATCATGGACAGCTCTATAACAGGTATTCTGTCTTATGCAAGATGTAGATCACCCAGACATGCGCTGGCGCGGCGGCAAGGAGCAATTAACCAAGTCAACCATCAAGAGTGTGAAACTTAGGGAACACAAAGAGATGTTCGACATGCAACACGCACATACACACAACATAACATGTTGTGTGTATGTGCGTGTGATAGGTCACAAAACAACATACAAACATTCATACATAAATATGCACATACATACATACATCCAAAATCATAAACTTCTTTCTGAGTCACTGTACTCGACTGTCTAGATATACAAAAAAAATGTTGTTATAAGTTTATGTGCAGTAAGGTTTGTCGATGATCGCCCCACCTACTTCCGCGGTCCAAGTTCTTACGCTCGGTACCACTAGCAACGCTTTTCCTTCTGACCTTCGACGCGTGACGTCATGATCCTATCGGCAAGCAGAAGGCTTGCTTGTAGTACTGGTTTCTGATGATTTTTTTTATATGAGAGTAGGGAAACGAGCATGCGGCTCACCTGATGGTAAGTGACTACCGCCGCCCATGAACAACTGCAACACCAGGGGAACCAGGGGAATTGCAGATGCCTTGCCGGCCTTTTAAAAAAGAGTAGGCTCTTTTCTTGATGGTCTCTAAGTAGTATCGGTTCGCGAAAATTGCTGCTGGTATTCGATTCCACAAGGAAGTTGTGCTAGGAAGAAACTTCTTCTAAATCGCACAGTAGTGGACCGCCAATCACCCAGATGGTACGGATGGTATTTCGAATTCTGTCGCGATGTGCGATAGTGAAATTGAGCGGCTGGAATTAGTCCGAACAATTCCTCTGAGCACTCACCGTGGTAAATACGATAGAATAGACAAAAAGGGATGCAACATCTCTTCGCAGCGCCAGTAAGTCAATCCGATCAGAAAGAGCTCGGTCGTCGACGATTCGAACCGCTCTGCACTGGACGCGATCAAAGGGGAGGAACTGGTACTGGGGAGCCCTGGCCCAGAGATGGGAACAGTATTCCATGTGTGGCCGAACCCTTGTAAAGTAGCAGGCGGTGTGTCGGTATGAAATACTGTCCCGCTCAAAAGAGCATGCCAAGCTTTTTAGAGGCTAATTTGGCCTTCTCTTCCAAGTGACCACGAAACTGCACGTCATTCGATATGTCGACGCTGAGAATTCCGATACTGGCTGAGGCAACAAAGGGAGTGCCATGAAACTGAGGAGACACGACAAAGGGGTTCTTTTTAGTGGTAAACGCTCAAACTTGTGTCTTCTAGGAATTGAACTGAACTGGACTGGATTTGAGTCTTGACTTCAGACACAAGTTTGTTACGGTACTCGGCGACATTTTCCCGAGAAATATTGCACGACCGGTGTATAAAGCATCAGCAATGCTGTCGACCACATAGCAATAAATTTTACCGGTTTGCAACATATTATTGATATGCAGGAGAAACAGTGTTGGTGATAGCATGCAGCCTTGTGGAACACCAGCTTTAATAAGCTTGTAGTTGGAGCATACACTGTCTACTACGACCTTGATGCTTCGTTCAGTCAGAATACTGGTGATCCAATTGCACAATTTCTCGGGAAGCCCATGGGAAGGAAACTACGAAAGAAGCGCTTTGTGCCAAACCCGATCGAAGGCCTTCGCTATGTCCAAATAACCGCCAAAGCATCCCCCTTGAACTCGATCACCTGCGCTCATCTAAATGTTAGGTAAACAAGAAGATCGCGAGATGAGCGACACCGACGGAAACCGTATTGGCCGTACCATGGTCGTAACCTTACCGTATGTTTGTGCCGTTAGCCTTTTGGCTTTTACAGCATCATCGGTCTCAGGGTTCGCGGCCTTGCAGGTTAAAAAGGGATTTTTTATAACACTACATCGTTACTTGCGTAACGATGACTCCTAGGATAGTTTACAGTACACGTGGATGACTTATCTAACGGCCGTCCGAACAGGGGATGGCGAACCCCAGCTCTGACGGCTAACTCGTATCGTTCGAAGTTCTGGGCGGTGAGAACCGCCCAGGGACGGTGTGGTGTGTATGCGGTGTGGAGGGATATACGGCGTGCCTGTTTGCGGACTCGTTGCGTCCCATTCGTTGTTGTCTTAACAGTGTTTGTGGCACTAGTTGATTGTGTAGTGTTTATGTGTGAATGGTCTGCGACATTTTGGACGTCAGCATCTAGCAGAAAGGGGGTTCGATTAGAACGTTATGGGGCCTCCAAATGCTTTCCCTAATGTTCGAAGTCGGAGCGTAGGTGGCTGTGTTTACCACTAGCGGGTTGGGATGTGTCCCGGCACTCTCGAAATAGCGCCGAGACATTTCCTTGAAATACTCAGAGATCGTCGGAAGTTGATAGTCTCTGTTAAAGTCGGAGTTTCGCTGGTACCACCGAGCTTCGGTGGCTATGCGAATGAATCTATTTTGGACGACTTTGTACAAATGTCTATGAGCCGCGTGCGTGAAAACGTAATGTGAAATTGCGTAAGACATTATAGGTCTTACGTACGTTTTGTAAAGATGGAGCTTGTGTCTTAAGGACAGTTCACTCTTTCTGTTAACTAGCGCATGGAGGCGACTAGTGATGATTTTGGCACGATTGCGGACATTGCGAATGTGTTTCGCGAATGTCATACCGTGGTCAAATGTGACCGTACCTATCGATTTCTTGGGATTTTTGTTTTGACGACAGAGAGTGGGGATGGTTCGAAAGTGTATTGCTACACTTTTTTCAGGATTTACTTCGATTCTTCATAAGCGGAACCAATCGCTTAAGCGGTTGATGGCTGTTTGGAGCATCTCGGTGAGAATTCTATTATTATGATAGGCGACGTCAAGTGCCGTGTCATCGGCGAAAAGAGCGGTATTAACTGCTGGGTTCTTCGGGATGTTACTCGTGAAGATTGTGAAGAGAAGTGGGGAGAGGACGGAGCCCTGTGGGACTCCAGCCTTGAGGGGACTCTTTGTAGAGCGAGTACCCTCTGTTCGATAGCGAAAGTGATGATTGGCAAGAAAGGCTCTGATGATGTGGGTGAGCCTATCAGGCACGTTGAGTTTATACAGTTTGTAAAGCAAGCCGTCGTGTCAGACTTTGTCAAACGCTTTTGCGACATCGAAAAAGAGGGTACCAGTCGAACTTACTTGTAGTACGTTGTCGAAGTCTTACCTGATGCGTATGGGACGCAGCGACATGTCAGAGCCGGAGGAGGAGGGTGAGCCGGGCGCGGGCAGCAGGCGCGGCGCGCGCGGCGTGAGCGGGGAGCGCGGGGAGCGCGGGGAGCGCGGCGAGCGCCCGCGCGCGAATTCCAGCCGGTAATTGTCCGAGCGCGGGCTGCCGCTGAACGCCTCGCCCTCTACCCCTGGGAACAACAGTACAATACAATAGAATATAATCATTTTTGTTCAATAGAGGTCACAAGATTTATCAGTAGAACCACGGTACAGCTATGCTGAAAAGTGTAGAATACGTAAAATACGTGGTAGAACCACGCTGCAGATATATCGAAAACAATACAATACGCATTGGAGTATTGCTGCATCTATATTATGGTCGTAGTACGGACGGGAACTCATCGATGAAAATCGACGTTGGTAAATTATTCCCCTACCTTGATGTACGTATTATGAAAAAATGAAAACAGTTAAGTAATTTTTTAAAGGATAAGCATAACTAACGAGAACGCAGCCACCTGATGGTAAGTAAATGCCGTGCTGAGGCCCATAGACATCTACATCTATCCTCGATCAAGAATTAAAATGCGTTATAACTCCAGAAGAATAAGATGGAATGCCTCGTTTCCAGTATAAGGGGTCTCTGGTACACTACATTATGGCTGCAGCAAGAATAGGTCGAGTCGACCGAGAAACGACCACGCTCTCACAGAACACCAGGGTGAAATAACAGATTAATTGATGTGTTGTGTTGTGTTCGTATGGTGAAAGTTGATAACCGGGGATCCTTTTTACTGGAATAGAGGCATTCCATCTTAATCCTTAAGAGTGACAACATATCTGCAATTTATTTTCTTCATCCAAAATAGATGTAGATGGCTATGGACAAGCATCCAATTACCATCAGGTGGCTTTGTCACCATTATTCTTCAAAAAATCCGCCATTCTATGAGAGCGTGATCCATCTCCGGTAGAACTTATCTTTTTTTTTGCAGCTATCATACGCTTCAGCGTGGTTCTACCACTGACAAAACGTATAAAAATGGTTGTGTTTTACATTTCTATTGCATTGTAGTTTTATTTCTTTTATTATAAGTTTATAAAAAACTAAACAAAAGAAATACAACCATAAATTAATATGAGTCAAAAGGATACCTATAATATTGATTATATAAGTAAAGCGTAACTGAATACTTTTAACCGTACAAGGTTGTCTCACCGATGAAGGTGGGGCGAGCTAATGGACGTCCGGCCCGTTTTCATTATATGTATTTGTTTGCTACCGTTCAAAAGCTTTGCTGTTACATAAAGTCAGGCATGTTATGGCATAGTAAATACAATGCTAGTTTTTGCTATTACTGTGACTAAGCCACGTAAATAACGTGAACATTTCTGGTGTGCATATCGATTGAAAATAAATACATGATGCCGAAAAATGGGCTTGGATAGATCGCAATCTTCAATTTAAAAAAAAAACAAAATTTAAGAAAGTATAATCCATAGATTTAGAAAAAAAAACGAAAAAAAAAAAACACAATCTAATTTTAACACTCAAGCCACATAGTATGTTCTCTATGATATTATGTTATTTAAAATGTTTCATCAAAATGCGTTGAAGCCCCTAATATGACTACACTTCTAAAGAGATAGAAGACCGCGTTTCGAGATAAAAGGGTATTGGATGTCTACACTCACCATACGCAACGTAGCAGCATTAGGATGTTAATTTAGGCTGTTATTGAGATATGCACTCGTATATTGCTGTATGCTATAATATAGAGTCCCAGAGACCCTTTCAACTGGAAATGAGGCCATCCATCTCCGCCCTCAGGGGTCATTACAACGGATCTACATTTTGATTCTTAATTGATAATAGATTTAGATGTCTATCGTGGCCTACATCAGGCAGCATTCACGTAGCATTAGGTGACCGGTTTGCTCCTTTGTCATGCAAATTCTATAAAAAAATTGGGGGGAGGGGGGCAATGATTTATGTTTGTACTGTTAGACCGGCAATTCAGAACGTAAGCTGAGTCACAGATGTAACGGTAAAGATGCCACGAAGCTATATTTTCATTTATAACAGTTACTGTTTTTTATACTTATCTGAAATAAGCTTTCAATAAGAAACGCTGTCATTACTTATGTGCGCCCGTTAAAAAAGTGCGCACATAAATAATAACAGCATTTTCTTAGTCACATTAAACTAAATCAGTGTGACACTGTCGAAAACAACGTTACAAGTTTATGTTTGTTCCTAGTGTTTAAAGTATTAACATATTTATTATTATCATCAAAGCTTTCATCAGTAACCTTCCATCACTAAGTTAACAATATTATGTTTATTTCTTTTTAATTTTTCTCTGAGAAACTTTACAATACGTTATAATTAGCCCGTACGGCCACTATATATAAGTAGCATAGTGGCCGTCAGGTAATACTAGGTATGTGTAGTGGTGGAGTGGTGCGGTGGGCGGCGAGTTACCGTGGGGCGCGTGGTGCGCGCGCGTGATGGTGGCGCAGGCGGGCGGGTGCGCGTGCGCGGCCGCCCAGTCGCGGTACACGCGCGTCGCGGGGCCCGTGCGCCACTCCGACAGCTCCACGCACCGGATCTGCGGGAAACGTGCATGTAGTGCCACTGGACTACACGGGAAACTCTTACGTGCTAGAGCCATGCTGTAGCTATATTTTACGTGGTGGAAATATACTGTAGTTATACTCACGTAGTATAGCTATGCTGCAGATATTTTTACGTAGTAGAGTCATGCTGCAACTATATTTTACGTGGTAGAGACATGCTGCAGCTATATTCAATTGTTAGAGTCATGCTGCAGCTAAATTTTACGTGGTAGAGCCATACTGCAGCTGTTTTCACGTGATAGAGTAATACTGCAGCCACATTTTACATGGTAGAGCCATGTTGCATCTATGTTCACGTCGTAGAGCCATGCTACAGCTATATTTTACGTGGTAGAGCTATGCTGCAACTATATTCACATAGTAGAGTCATGCTGCAGCTAAGTTTTACGTGGCAAAGCCATGCTATGTTTTACGTGTTAGAGCTATGCTGCAGCTTTATTCACGTGGTAGAGTTATTCTGCAGCTATATTATGATTGTAGCACAAATTGGTCAGCTCAACCGAGGAAAAACCAAACTCTCATAGAATACCAGCGTAAAATAACCTCAATGCTACTGTGTTTCGTATGGTGAATATGGAGAACTGGAAATAATTTGTACTGGAAACGAGGCATTTTATCTCAGTCTTCAGAAGTAACAACGCATCTGCATTCTGATTCTTAATCGAGGATAGATGTAGATGTCTATGCCTCAGCATCCACTTACCATCAGTTGGACTGTGTGCTCGCTTGTCCCCTTATTCTATAAATAAAACCTATTACATTTATTGTAAACGTTAAATAAGATGTTATACCCCATCTATTTATTTATTTAGTTCTTATAACGTTCCAAGTATCGAGAAGAATACGGATTAGTTTGTAATCTTTAGGAATCATTTTTTAATAACTCTCTACCAAACAACACATGGAGTGGTGCAAATTTGACGAACATTGATATATCGAAAATTCAGAAACAAATTAGATTTTTCTGGCATTGCCAACAGTTGCCTCTTACTACTCCCACGGGTCGAAATGAGGTGATGGATTCTATCTCATACAGTGATATGATAGGCGGCAGTCGTTCAAAGTCCACTGCCGGACATGGACATTGGTTGTAGGGACAATTTGCTTTAACTGTTACGCTTGAGAGGCGGGTTTTTTTTATAGAATAAGGGTAAGTGACAAGCACACACAGTCCACCTGATGGTAAGTGGATACTGTGGCCCATAAACATCTACATTTAACCTGAATTAAGAATCAAAATGTATTTTTTTATAGGATAAGGTGACAAACGAGCACACAGTCCACCTGATGGTAAATGGTTACTGTGAGCCATAGACATCTACATTTATCCTCAAAAAAGAATGAAAATGCAGATGCGTCGTCACCCGTGAGGACTAAGATGGAATGCCTCTTTTCCAGTAAAATGGGTCTCCGGTTCTCTTCACTCACCATACGAAATACAGCAGTATCAAGCTGCCATTTTACGCTGGTACTCTGTGAGAGCGTGGTCCTTCCCCGGTCGAGCCAATCCATTCTTGCTACAACTATACTACTAATATAGCTGCAACATGGCTCTACCACGTATAAATGTAGATGCATTATCACCCTCTCCTCCGCACGCTCCTCCTCAGTATCACATCTCAATCATCCAAACTGCAAGAAAGTTTGTTGTTCGTAGGTGGCGTGGATACAATACTTATGTACTTATATTAATCTGTACTAGATCAATGAACAAAAGTTACAACCTAAGTATATACGCCCCATTCCCGTGTACAGGTATCGTCTCATTTCTCATAGAGGCTTAGGGCAAGAAAATGTCCACTGAATATGTCCTACGGCTCATCACTAATCCAAGAAGGGTTAAAAGTATAAATATTTATTTTCAAAGCCCACCGTTGAACATTGTTTTCCCCCAAGAAATGTCACAAAACACCTGCACTTATCGACTTGCTTACATAACATACCTACACCTACTATACTGGAGGGTCGCACTACAGTTCGCTTCCTGATATTAGGCTGCCACTCGAGAACCTTTCTTTCCCATCAGCTGTCGCTCTTTTGAGCTATACGGCTGCACCATTGCCCCTTGAGGTTACTGTTCCGATGGCATATGTTGGTTAATCTTGTTTAATTGCGGATATCTACTTCTTTAATTATAAATTGTGTGTGCGAGCTTGCGAACACGATATATGTGTACGAGGGCTGCACTAAAAGTATCGGGAATAGAATATTTCCACTGTTCCTGTCATATTAAAATCTTTTTAATTGAAAACCCGTTGGTTTTAGAAATCAAATACCATTTATTTATTTATTTAAAAAAAGATTCTCGGTCTTGCCACAAGGTTTTGTCAAACTTGTTTAGTCGTTGAGAAAATGGAATTGACTCGAGAAAATTCAAGAGCGATGATTTATTATGACTTTCGAAGTGGTTTAACACAAAAACAGTGTGTTGGCCGGATGATTTCTGCATTTGGTGATGAAATCCCATCCAAAACCACAATTTATCGCTGGTTTGCTGAATTTCAACGTGGACGTGTCAAGCTCAATTATGATCCCCGTCAAGGTCGTCCAAAAACTGCAGTCACCCAAGAAAACGTTGATGCTGTGCGTAAGCTGATTGAGGAAGATCGACATGTGACATACCGCGAAATTCAGGCAACTTTAGACATTGGCATGAGTCAAATACAAATAATCTTGCATGAACAATTAGGTGTAAAAAAGTTGTTTTCCCGATGGATACCGCATTCGCTCTGTGAAGAGCAAAAAGCGGCTCGCGTTACTTGGTGCGTCAGAACTCTCGAAAGATTCCACGCAGGATCCTCAAATGCTGTATACAACATCGTATCAGGTGACGAATCCTGGATATACGCGTACGAACCCGAAACAAAAAACCAGTCACGAGTTTGGGTGTTCGAAAATGAGTTAAAGCCAACAAAAATTGTTCGTTCACGGAGTGTTGGAAAAAAAATGGTGGCCACGTTTGTCTCCAAAACCGGCCATGTTACGACTATTCCTCTTAAGGGACAAAGAACAGTTAATGCAGAATGGTATGCTAGCATTTGTTTGCCACAGGTCGTTTCTGAACTCCGTAAAGAGAACTGCAACCGCCGCATCGTCCTCCATCACGACAATGCGAGTTCTCACACCGCACACAGAAAAAGAGTTTTTAGAGCAAGAAAACAGAATTATTAGACCATCCGCCGTACAGCCCCGACCTAAGCCCTAATGATTTCTATACTTTCCCTAAAATAAAGAATAAATTGCATGGACAGAGATTTTCATCACATGAAAAAGCTGTGGACGCCTACAAAACGGCCGTTTTGGAGACCCCAACTTCCGAATGGAATTGTTGCTTCAATGATTGGTTCCATCGTATGGAAAAATGTGTCAAATTTCGCGGAGAATACTTCGAAAAGCAATAAATACATTTTTAAATGGTAATGTTGTGTCACTTCTTTGATTCCCGAAATTTTCAGTGCCGCCCTCGTATTATTTATAACCTCAGTGTCGTGGTATTACAAACATGTCACATATAAATTATTATTATCTCTATTATAGCCCATCAAAAGTCCACTGCTGAACATAGGTTTCGCCCTTTTGAATTGCTTCATAGGGGGGGGGGGGGCGTGGATATGTCAAGGACCGATGACAATACAATAATTTAATAACTTTATCACAGTATCCTTAGCAGCATCATCAGGATAATTCTCTCTAGAACCATCACAGCTAATGACAAATGCGTGTTTTCTAAGTTTTCTTTAATTATTATTTGTACTTACAGGCGTGGTGCTTTTACTGCGTGTGCTTGTCTCTGAGGAGGTGTTGCTGTGCCGCGCGCGAGTGTCGCGCGCTCCAGGCGATGCGCGGCACGAGCCGTCCGGTTCGTCCCTCGCCTGTATAGGAATACAATAGGCTTTTTAATTACGAGGTGACTGATACTGCGATGGTCAATCCAATATACGTGGTAGAGCTACGCTGGAGCTATGTTATGGTTGTAGCACGAATGAGTCGGCTTGACCGGGGAAGGACCATGCTCTCTCAGAATACCATAGTAAAATATCAGCTTATAGTGTACTCTTAACATCTCGTTTACGCTAATCGTAATAGGTATTTTCTTCAATTTACTTCTATATAGTTAAATGAAAATGATCTTCACCAACGTTTGCTCGGAAGAGATCGCTGTTTAGCGATAAGGCCACTGAATTGTACATACATTTATAAAGAGCAATGGCAGAAAAATAGTTGACAAAAATTATAGCGTCTAGAAATAAGTTATATATAAAATGAGTTTTATTATTTTTCTATGACTTTTCAAATAAAAATGTATTTTAATTAAAGCCACAGAAAAAAACAAACATTTTTGGGAATATCAAATGACTGAAATCATTTTAATCTTTTCAAATGTTGCCATTTAGGAAATTCCTACTATTTTCGTATACACTTTGTAACACTACCAACACAACACACAAAATATTTTTATATTAAGTTATTATTAGTAATAACTGTACTATCAGTAATAACAAAAATAAAAGTAATATGGCTGAGAATAAGTCTCTTACAAAGAATTTCCTACAATAATACATTATCTCAATCATAGTACTATAATTCAATTTAATGTTATGCCAACACTATCTAAAATAAAATGTCACTGTTTTTTTACTGGCTTTACGGCTCTGGGTTCTAGCCCTTCTGAGAATGTCACTATGGTACAAAAGCCCTAGAGCCATGCCAGAAATATACATTTATAGTATGCAAATATATAATAGAGATACAATAATCTAAAAACTCTCAATTATGTATTATGTATTAAGCTAACATCAAACAACCACAGGAAGCATGACTTTTTCCAAGTGACATAGGACATAACCTAAAAAGGTTCAAATGTAAATATCTTTTTTTTGACGCCTTCTCAGTACAAAATTCTTTGACAGAGTTATTAAGGGACTGACGCTTAACATTTTAAGATATTTTTGGTATATAGACGCTACCATTTCTTCTCAACTAATTTTATGTATGAAAGTCTGCCATTGCTCTTTAAGTTTGTTGTGTTGTGTAATATTTTGTGTGCAATAAAAGAGTATATATTAAAAAAAAAACAATAGTATTTTACAACAGTCGACGAGTACCAGCGAGAAATATGTGAAATTTCTTTTTTTTTTATAAAACTAAAACGAGAGAATAAGAAGCCACGGCACTGCATTCCATGAACACCTTCAAACAAAGAAGGCTCAGATATTGAATAAAACTACTTTTTTACGGATTTTATCGCGTTTAATTAACTTATTTTATATTCTCGACGTTTCGGTTGCTTTCCAGCAACCATGGTCACGGGGGACTGAGGTGACTGACGTCCCGATGTCAGAGTTCACCCGGAGTATCTTTACTTTAAAGAGTAACTTTTGATTATTAATTTTGGTCCGATCTACGCAGAATGAACTTACTGTGTCTTGAAGTCTTGCAGTGGTATGCTTGAGTTTAGTTTTAATTAAACGCGATAAAATCCGTAAAAAAGTAGTTTTATACAATGTGTAGTGTTCGCGTAAATATAAGAAATCATTAGCATTCATGGCATTCCTGGGGACTACGATGGCATGCCTCACAGTCTGTAATTAAACTCTAGCTATATATATATATATATATATATATATATATATATATATATATATATATATGTGTGTACTATATATACTATATATATATATATATATATATATATATATATGTACTATATATATATATATATATATATATATATATATATATATATACTTATCTTCACGCACAATCCCTGACGGGGTAGCCAGAGAGTACAGATCGCCAAGTGTCACGATCCTTACATACCTCTTTCGCTTCTTTCAGATTCATTATCTTCTTCATGCATGCACGTCTAAGTATCCGAGTACTTTTGACCCTACCCTCTTCGAGTAATTTGCTCACATGGTCTTCGAAAGTTAGTCTTCTTACCTCGACACCTTTTAATATTAACTTTCGCGCTATATATTTTCTTCACCATTCGGTCTTCACTCATTCGCTCAACGTGCCCAAACCACCGAAGCACGCCCTTATCAATTTTTGTGATAAGGTCATCTTTCAAACCTGCCATATTGCGAATCTCTTCGTTTCGCTTTCGGTCGGCCATGGTAACGCCGCACATTTTACGAAGAGATCGCATCTCCACTGCATTCAACTTACTTTTATGCTTCTTCTGGCATACCCAGGTTTCGCTGCCATATAACAAAGTCGGTACCAACACTGCGTTATGTATTGCAAGGCGTGCACTCTTCGCTACGCCTTGCCTTTTGACTAACGCAGCCAGGGCACCATTGACTTTGTTCCCGGCAGCGACACGCCTGTCCACATCTAAATCACATCTTCCATCCCGGCTAAAAGCACTCCCCAAGTATACATATATATATATATACATATATATATATATATATATATATATATACTATATCTACATCCTTCGGACCGGAACACAGCAGTGAGGGAGCTGTTATTTGGCGGCAGAAATAGGTAAGATGGTGACATCTATCCAGACAGACTCCTAGACAGAAATCAAAGAAAGACCTATACACATTTTTTTCCTGTATACATAAATTGTACTAGGATTAAATATCCAGAACCGGTGCAATTATTTATAGGCCATACAAATACTTGTTCCGTGCGGGATTTGAACTCGCGGCCTATCTACATTTGTTATTATTACATATACAGATCATCCTTTGTACATAAGCCACGGTGGTTGCCCACTATCGGACATGCTGTGTTCTCGTTCTTTCTATAATCACAATTATAATTTTTAACAAAAAGTAAAAACCGAGGGTGGGATTTTTCTCCAAATTTGTATGAAACCACCCTTGAAGTATAAGCTATTTATCGGAGCATCTATAAAATACAGGTTGGATGCAGGTGGAATTAAGGGTACATCGAGATACCGCCACTTGTTCGTGCAGTATAAAGTTCACTGTAGGCGCCGTGCGTGAGAGATTCCGCTAAGTCATTCCACGAGTGTAGTCACTCTACTAGTAGTAAGATAGTGTCGTGGTTCTATCCGTTATGGTGGTTCTTATTGTGCAGGCTAGGAAGATGGTGTTGCTGAGAGGCTGCCCTGTGTTACACTGAGATAAGTAGTGTTGCTTTTGGTTTGCATACTTTGGTGTAATCATTTAATTACGTACCTCGCGTTACACTGGTGTGTGATCGTGGCGGGGACGTGTTACGGTGTGGTCGAACAGTAATTACTCTATACTGAATGTAGAGTGCGTTACGCTGTCTTATTACTGATAATGATTAATTGCATACGCAATAGAGCAAGTTGAACATATGCTCTCACACTTTTATTATTTTTAAAAATTAATGCTATTCTGGTGTATTTCCGAGAACAGAAGTGGGATCCTCTGCTAAATTTCCGAGACATTTATTAAAAAAAGAATCATTATTAAAATCGGTTCACAATCTGCGAAGAAATCGCGTAACATACATACAAAAAAAACATACACTCGAATTGAGAACCTCTCTCTTTGAAGTCTGTTAAAAAACCCTGAAATAACATTGGTGTTGCATTACCTTACTGTTGTTAGTGGTGGGTAGGCTGGAGGCACCGCTGCTGACTAGCCGCAGCTGCTGCCTTATGTTAGCTTTCTCACGCGCCCGCTTGCGCTGGAACTCTTCCTCGACTCTGCAATTGTTAAATATACATTTTTGTTAACATGTTGATAATAATTAAGAATAAAGTAATGATTATATAACGATACATTCGCCTTAAACGACCTCAACAGCCTCTAAGTCTTCAACTTTAATTATAAATTGTGTGTATGCGACCATGTATGCTTAGATATAAGTTAAAGAAGCGAGAGTTGTGAGGACCGTGGCTTTTTCACAGTGGTAGAGCCATGCTGCAGCTATATTAGTGGTATAGTTGTAGTAATAATTTAATATTTTATTTTGTAATATTTTAATATTTTGCGTTCACTGACCATTCAATACATATTAACACATTATAACCTTAAAAGTTCATGGAGTTTGATTAAAATAAAACGTCAAATAAAGTTATTGAACCGACAAAGGCACACATTGATAGGTTAAGTTAATCTGTTTAAACAGAGTTTATTATAATTTGCAATGTTCAGAAACGCACTTTCTTAAATTATTGAACCGATAGTGCTACCGAAAAGATAAACCGCGGATAAAAATAGGTACCTCAGAGACCGAGCATAAGTCGTATCGGTCCGAAAAATCCCTGCACAAGGAAGTTGTGGCAGGAAGAAAACTAAAAGCTGAACTTGGCACGTGGAATACAGTCCAGTCAAATAAGTACTTAAATCAAAATTTGACACTCTACTTTGCATTTTTGATATAATAAAGTTTGTAAAGGTTTTGTTGTCTGCAACCCCCGGCAAGGGTTGAAAAACGATTGTCAAGTGTTTTTCGCAATTACTCGAAAACGGTAAAAAATTAGACAAAAAGTTCTGATAAAAATGTAGTAAATTTTTTCTCCGGTCTAAATTAACCGAGTTAGGGAGGTTTTAAGTTTTAGGGATGAACGGAAATTAAAAAAAATCGTAGGTAGTAAAAAATGAGTGATTTTTTTAAATTACTTAAAAATCTATTAAACTGTTTTTTCAAATTTTTACCGTTTTCGAGAATTTGCGATAAAACACTTTTGACAATTTTTCCAACCCTTGCCACGTTGTACGTACGAAAACCTTTACAAACTTTATTATATCAAAAATGCAAAGTTGAGTATCAAATTTTGATTTAAAAAGTTATTTGACTGGACTGTATTCCACGTGCCAAGTTCAACTTGTAGTTGTCTTCACTACACAAAACTAACTACACTACACAATACTAAAATCGACTAAAATATTTACAATAATATCAACTGTCAAAATCGCGTCGATAAAGCAGCGCCTTTTGACCCTTTATTATTTGATAGACTGATCAAGAGCTATCGTATCACAGAGCGTTCTATGAAAACAAGGCTGTAGTTTTTGAGTTATAAGAAAGTGACCATATTAATCGGATGACTATATTACCCTCACGTACTAAAGTTAGTTTTTTTTAAGTTGATTTTTCGAAGTGTTGCTAATTATTGCCTCAATATTATCCTCCCCCTAGTTTTGGTGTTATAGGGCGGCAAAGCTTAAGGTGACTATATTACCCTCACGTACCTTAATTGTGTCACGTTTTTCTATCTATTGAATAAATTTCAACAAAATGCCGATAGTCGGCAAGGAGAATAATAAATAAAATATTTTATAAAATGTTCGCCCACGCTATTTTGCTACAAGGCTACCTATTTGGAATTAAATTAAGATGGTAAGTATAGCTCGAGAATTCTTTGCATTAATAACAAAAACATTGTGGCACATTCTCTTGAGATAATACGTACAAATTAGTAAAAATATGTTATATATTTCTAATGTAACCACGGACCTAAAAAAGAAATAGGTCTGTGAATGTAACACTATTGTATCAGTTTATACTCAAGCGCCATCTATTATTGTGTATATAACTTTACGACTTTTACGTACAATGAATGAGATTAAATAAAACGTCAATAGAGGGCAGTAACAAAATAATAACTCGCGGTGTTGAGATTTTCTGAAAATGAATGAGTATAACTTGGCGACTATAAAAAGGACATCGGAATTCCTCCCTCCTACTAAAGCGCTTATTACATTATCCAATTTTTAAAAAATCTAATTAGGAACCTAAGTTGGAAGCTTAGTGATCACATTACACTAAATTGAATTCTAAATCGTGACGAAGCACATTCGTAAAAGAAGTATCGACGGGGTTGCACGTTTGATCGATGGCGCCGTATTTATCAAAACAGCAGAAAATAGGACTTGCCTTAGCCGTGATGGGAGCAATGGAATTAAAAAAAGAAAAAAGAGAATATGCTGGGTTAAGGAATACTTGTCATTATATTTATAAATATTTAACAACACCTTGAAGCCCCCTTCACGCGTTGCTTTTTTGAAATAGTTTTCTTCATTTTTATTATACAAATAGGGCATTTACCCTATACAGGTCTATAATTTGTAATAACACCTCTTTTTCTGTGGACATGCTGCCACACGAACCACTGCTCAGTTCTGTCGCTTCACTCGCCATTGCAAAAAAATGTCGCACGCGCAGTCAAGACATCCACTTAAGTCGAAGCGCGGGCGCCGACTGGTCGTTCTAAATCGTAACGTTGCGATTACACTGTCCTAAATTGTAGACAATTTAGAAAGTAGAGCGGTCGGGACCTCCAACTTTAACTATTTCGGATCCTAACTGTTCTAACTATGATTACACTTTCCAATTTCCTAATTAGATTTCCTAAAAATTGAATAATGTAATAAGCCCTTAAGCCAGCCTCCCGCTGCGCTCCTACCACGGCAAAGAGTCTTCCGGAAGAGCGCAGTCAGGGTAGTCATCCGCGGCGTCCCCTTTGAACTCTCCAACGAAGACATCCTCGAGGACCACAAGTCCCAAGGATTCCCTGTTGAGGCTGTGCACGAAGTGCACAGCAGAACGGGCATTAGGTTTCCGCTTACCCTTAGTTAGTCTTAACGTGCCGGAGGCAAAAGCCATCTTCAGGCAAGGTATGCATGGTGTGTGGCTTGTCGAGAGTGAGGGTTGAGGCCCCACATAGGCGCGGGTTCCCGGCGCAGTGCGTCCGCTGCCAGTTATATATATGGTCATGCGGCGGCCAACTGCTCCTCCGCCCCACCCAGGTGCGTTAAGTACCTAAACCCACACAACTCGAGAGAGTTTCCTCGGCCCAAAGATGCCGAATCCCCACCCTCGTGCGTCCTATGCCAACAGACTGGCCACCCGGCCACTACAGAGGTTTCCCGCGCTCCTCTCATTCGTCCCAACAAACTAGCTCCACCGCCGGTCAATGCTAGGTCATTCCTGGCCCTCCCGTCAAGAATGCCCCGTCAGGGCTTTTCCCAGCCCCCTCAGGGCTATTCCCGACCCCCCAGGGGCCCTCCTCCGGGCTTCTCCCAACCTTTACAGCCTTTAGTCTTTCCCTGGGGCCCTAAAAAAGCCGACCCTCCGCGGACGTCCTCCGCCATTCAGCAAACACAACCCTCAATGGTTGATGACCTAAATTCGGTGTATTCCGCTATTAGGAACATCAACATTGGGGAGATTGCCGTTTTAGCATCATAATCTTTTGTGTTCGTTATAAGTTAATTTAACACGGCCTGAACTGCCTCCCGGCGGCTCAGGCCGACTCTTCTTAAATTTTTGCCTTATTGGCTCTCCCTCAGCGGCTCTTTGTAGCCGCCTTCGCCCTCTTCTCGCAAAAGAGGGTCGCTTCCGATCCGACAAAGCGGCTTAATCGGCCAATTGTCAGTCCCACAGACGGTTTTTAGTGGGTAGCACCTAGGCTCCACTTTAGGTTAGATACAGTGAGTCCCACATAATCACGACAGACCGGCTGTCGTGGTATGCATAAAGCATTTACCGCCTCCCTGCGTATCGTATTAGCCCATTTTCCAATTGCTTCTGGGCGCAAAAAAAAATACTACCGCCCGCCGTCGCGGCCCACCTAGCTACCAAATCGGCTGTACCCCAGTCGAACTCTTTCGCGCCCCTGGACATGGAGTACTCGTGCTCCGAACCCTGGTTCGTCCGTAACGCCGACCTCCACCGAGACTTAGAGCTTCACACAATTCAACAATTTCCAAAATCACTCTCTGAGAACTTTTTCCAAGCCTCAGAGTCTCACCCAAATCATCACATTCGTGACGCAGCTTCCTATGCAGCCCGACTTCCCTTTCGCTATCGAGTCCGCAGGCCGAGAAACTCTCTCTCGGACCCCCCAACAAGCTTTCGGCCGACCTGGACTGCCTCCTGGCGGCTCAGGCCGAATCGTGTCACTGTTCATATTTTGCCTCAGCGGCTACGAGCCGCCTGCGCGAAGTCTTTCCAATGCACTGCGGAGTAGTGACCCGAGGCTGATCTCCACGATTATGCTAAATGAGGATAATTTGAACGCGTAATTCTAGGCCGTAGGGGCTGCGTACGCGCTGTCCTCCCTTATTAAACATATCGTCGTAACATATACATATACATAAACGTCAGACACCAGAAGTGATCAGTGAGGAATGGTAGAGTCGAGTAATATATTACTTTATCTCACTGTTATTCTATAATATCAAATCGTACCATATATTGAACTTGAATATTTAGTATTGATCTATGTAATACAATATTTATGTATCGGTTGCCCTAGACGAAGATTTATCGACCAAATCGGCGATAAATTGAAAATAGGCCAGATTAGGAGTACCCTTAACCGACGAGCGTGCATGCGTAAATATATGGACGTAAAGGAGGCGAGAGAAGTTTGTCAGGATCGCGCCAAATGGAAGTCCGTAGTCTCTGCCTACCCCTCTGGGTGACAGGTGTGAGTGTTTGTATTGTTGTATTGTATTGTATTGTTGATATCTACGTGACTGTAACTCATTCAGTGTGCAGAGCGATACGCGATTTTTGATGGATTTGGTGCTTGGATTTATAGATATATTGTAGTATCTAAGTATTGGTTAATAGTATCTATAATACTCGGAAATGAGTATATCTCACAATGAAGAGTTTATGTAAATATAATATTATATACCTATCTTATTCAAATATTCAAGGCATCATATAGACATATTTTACGATTATATTATTTATTCGTGTTCGAATATTCGTTTCGATGTAGATGTAGAGGCGGTATCTGATACATCATTAGTAGTTGCCCGATATATAGATATTGTATCTACCTATATACGATTTATATAACCCAATCCAGGTCTGAAGTATTGTTATAAAGAGGTTAGGGACGAGCAACAATTCCGTACCGTAGTAGAGAATGGTGTCTCTACTCCATCTGTGTGTACTGTGTTGTCGCACACATTATCACTTTGTTTTATAAACAATTATTATTAGTCTGAGAAGAACACGCGCGACTCCCACGTGCAATTAACAAATAAATTTAGGAAAGCACCTCCGCATAGCCTCCAGTTCGGTTTTTCGCTGTTGCTCCTTCAGATCTGCCTCCTTGGACAGCTTCTCGGCGAGCCTCCGCCTCTCTAATTGACGCACTGTCGATTGGAACGTGAATCTCTTGCCCCGGCCGTTGGCGTTTGTTTGATTGCGCTGAAAAAAACAATAACAAAATTATATGTTTTGTTTAGTTGCGCTTTAAAACTTAATGTTTAACAATTAAACGTTAAATTAATCAAATTGATTGTTTAATTTCTTTTTAACATGGAACAAAAGAAAAAAACCATTATCTTAGTTTACGTTAAGAAATCACTATCATTTTCAGCAGCGTAGAGATCACACTGTATCAGACCTAATCGCAGATCCTGGATTGAAATTCCAGCAAGAAATATTTGTGACAAAACAGAATTTTATGTTTAAAAAAACTAATTACATACAATTTAAAAACAACTCAGCGAGTGTTCTAATGTTTGCATTTATATTGTAAAAATGTTATTGAATATTTAAGGAGGGAGGAGATTAGATATTTACATCCCACCTTAACCTTAAAAAAACCCTATTTGGGGCCTAGCGTTACTTCAAAACTATTCAGTACTATAAAATATCTGTACAGTAGAGTAAAAAAAGTATTGTGCCCCTATTTTCGACTCGATCACAACAATAACTTCCGGTTTATAGGATAGGGTGACAAACGAGCACACAGTCCACCTGATGGTAAGTGTTTACTGTGACCCATAGACATCTACATCTATCCTCAATAAAGACTCAAGATGCAGATGCGTTGTCACCCGTGAGGACTAAGATGGAATGCCTCTTTGCCAGTAAAAAGGGTCTCCGGTTCTCTACACTCACCATACGAAACACAGTAGCGTTAAGCTGCTATTTTACGCTGGTTTTCTGTGAGAGCGTGGTCCTTCCCCGGTCGAGTCGACCCATTCGTGCTACAACTATACTACTAATATAGCTGCAACATGGCTCTACCACGTAAAAAAATATAAATTACAAAATTATTACTAGCATTTAGTTTTAAACAATTTCTATTTTTACACCAAACGCAAAAGATGTACGATGTGTGTGTGATGACAATATCACGTCGGTGTTATTCATATTGTTTTCAACTCCGAAGTTAAAAAACAACTTACCATTTATTGATAATATTATTTTATACCATCCACAAAAAGCATGTCTAGTTCAAGTGTTGAATAAGATTGTATTGTATAAATAAAAGTATGCTGTGTATAAAAAGGGAATGACAGTGTACGCAAATAAAAAAGTGATAGTTTTTGAAAGAGAAGTATAATAAGTAGTAAAAGGGGAGTTGGTTGAGCAAGTGAATGAGTTTGTGTATTTAGAAATACTGAACACTCAAAAATACTATATATTACAGTTACTCGTTAAAATAGACAGATGAGACCACACATTAAGATTTATAAATTGAATTCACCGAAGAGCGAATTGATTTGAACACTAAATGACGACGGAAATTAGAGACGCCTGCTCACAAAACCATCACTGACCTATTCTTCGTGATGCATTACTAGACCTAAATGCGTAGCCAAATGATTGTGCTGACGCGAATAAAAGCCACCGGTCGGAACGTTTCCTTTGTTAGAAACCGCGTATTTGAAAACAACGGATTTAGAGCGTGTGAACGCGGCGATGCCTTGATAAATCGCGCGCGCACAATATTCCGAGATATGTTCGGATGGCTTCAAATGAAATTAAACCATTAAGGCGAGGATTTCCGCTCTTCTTCCCTGCATGCATCTTTTTTTAAGAATAACGGTGACAAACGAGCACACGGTCCACCTGATGGTAAGTGAATGCTGTGGTCCATAAACAACTAAATTTGTCTTCGATTAGGAATCGTAATGCAGATGCGTAGTCACCCTGAAGACTAAGATGGAATGCCTCTTTTCCAGTAAAAAGGATCTCTGATTCTCTACACTTACTATACGAAACATAGCAGCGCTTAGCTGCTATTTCACAGTGGTATTCTGTGAGAGCGTGGTCCTACCCCGGTCGAGCCGACCCATTAGTGTTCAACCATAATATATCTGTAGCGTATAGCGTTGTTCTGCCACATATGCATATTTGTCGAGCACAAAGTCAGCGTGCCACATTCGGTGGTCCAAAAGTTAATCAGGAAATAAAGGATCATTATCAGGACAAGTGGTAAAATTAAAAATTTTGTACAACCAACTTCAAAATAAATAATTAAGGACAACTCAAAAACTATTGGTCAGGCCTTGATAAATTTATATGGAACCACATGAGAAGCAACATCTTTCAAATAAAACAAAAATCAAATCGGTTCACGATTCGGTTAGAAAAAGTTATGAGGTAACACATAAAAAAACATACAGTCTAATTGAACCTCCACCTTTTTGAAGTCGGTAGAAAATAGAAATGTAGTCGATTAAAAATATAATTTAATAACGTGCCTTTAATATTGTCGAAAATCGAAATATATGGTTATAGTTTAAAAAAAAACGAGAACTCGAACGTCAAAGTTTTTCCCTTCAATCTAATTCAAATATTTATATAATAATATCTTAAATAATATATAGTATTTTAAAAATCCATTCGAGTAAGAATATAATTGAGTGTTTCATGTTGCGCATAATTTTCCGATTACTTTGTCAAGAAGTGTAAATCAAAATCGTGTCTAAAATCATTGAAATACGATAATTTGGCCTTAAGTAGCGAGATGTTAAGTGAAGATGAGAAATTTTGCAATGGATCTTGAAATAAATCTCTAACACGTAATAGAAATTAAAAAGGCGCAACACTTTAACAAAAAAGAAACAATGCAAGATGACATAATATCGACAGTAATTAAGAAGTTAAACAGCTAATTAGAGCAACGTGAATAGTTAATTACAATTTGCAGCGCAAACATTACATAAACGAAATTTTCTCTAATACATATTAATATGTAACTTTCTTATCTATACATCTGTACATAAACTATTATGTAATTTTCTTATCTACGCATCTGCATTTTGATTCTTAATTGAGTATAAATGTAGATGTGTATGGGTCACAGCATCCACTTACCATCAGGTGGACTGTGTGCTCATTTGTTACCCTTTTTCTATAAAAAAATCGAAGTGTCTTTCCGTATTATAAAAATTACTGCTTTTTATTCAGTTGAGGGGTTAATTGCATAAAAAGTCTGCTGGGTTTCTTGCTAGTTCTTCCCAGAGCAGAGGTTTCCGAACATTGTAAAACTGTGATAAAATTGCTTTCAATATGTACTTTTGTAATCTATATTGAATAAAAAAATATCCTATTGTATTATCTGAGGGGCAGCCTCTCCAAGAGAACTTCTGTTACCTAATAAACTGACCTAAAGTCAGGGAAGAGTCAGGCTTGATAAAGAAGGCACATAAACATGATCCCGTGACAACGTGAAGTAACATACATTCATCTATGCTATACCATGTATAGAGTGATTCTCAGGACCGATAAGAGGAGGAGGGAGGGATACATTGCACACAGTCCACCCAAGTATTCACAATTCCACAGTTTATTAAGATATAATGCCTCGTTATCAGTAATTTTCTTTTTTTAAATCAAGTGTTTAAAAGTAATTTCTCGTCAGAAAAAAAAACCAGAATGATTTAAATTAGAGTACACTTGTTCGTGTATACGACGTTTATTAATATTATGCTGTCTATTGCTAATGGTGCAGGTAGGATGCTAATTTGCGATGCTGTTTATAAATGTTTGGATACTTAATTATATAAAATATTATATTGTAAATTGATGTTTTTAATAAAAGTCCCGCTAGATTTCTTGCTGGTTCTTCCCAGGACAGGGTTTTATTTAGAACCAGTGGTAAGTAAACCTTAAATGACTTTCAAAAAGTATTTTTTTAATCTATATTGAATAAAAATAATTCTATTCTATTCCATTCTATTAATTTGTAGATTGTGATCGCGAGCATCCGATTTGCTCAATTCAACCTCACGAGTATTTTCTAAATATATTTCTTTTGAATCACATGCTTGGGCAACGCTTTTAATGGTTCTTGGTTTAAAGATATGCAATTAACACCGTCAAACCTAAAGTGTAGGAAATTACACGCTTATGCAACTTGGACTTTTATGACTTTTTAATTTAAATTTAAAAATTTCTTGTAACAATTTCTACATTTTAATAAATTTAGTATACACATATTTGAAGCAATCCAATCTATACATATATCTATATATATATAAATAAAAATGACGTGTCTGTCTGTAATAACGAAGAAAACTGGCTTCTATAAAGAGCTTAGGAGGTTATTTGTATGCTATATGACAGACAGACAATCTGTCTCTCAGGGTCCTCCGGGCTAATCTTCTAAATCGCTGAACTGATTGCTATGAAACTAGTTCACAATTAAATTACACGCAAACAATCTGTGTACATTTCAGTACTGGCTCCACATAATTCTAGTACCGATTAACATTGCCAGCGTACTTGAAATAATGATGTAAGCATCTGCTCTCTTAGCGATTACATCGACGCCAGAGTAACGTGAGCAGAGGCGACACGTGCATCAAGATTGGGCACGCAAAAGTATAGCACCGGCTGCATGACGTCCATCATGAGCACGATTAAACAATGTGAAGGTTGAACGACTCCGTGAAGGGCGCGAACGTTCGCTTGTACTAATTCAGTAATGGATCGCCTTTGTCCGCCGTATAAGTCACGAAAACTGCGATTGTTCTATCAGGCTACACGCATTTTGTGCGATTGTTAATTTTAGCCCACCTCAAGACGGAGGACGTTCTGAATTTGAATATATAATCTTTTTTTTTTGTATATATATTACGCGTATCTTCGCCAGTTGACAACCGATTTTAATGGTTCTTTTTTTTAATTAAATAGGTTATACTTCAGGCTTGAACCCACATAAATTTGGGTGAAAAATGATCAGCCTTAAGGTTGGAAAATAGGGGTGAAGTTCGGTTTGTTAATTAAACTATATATATATAGCATTTTACGAATGTTACGCGAATGGGTTGACTCGACCGGAAAAGGACCACGCTCGCATTACTATCACGGTAGTCTGTTCTATATAGTATGTAGGTATAATATTATGAAAGATAAGAAGGAAATAATATGAAGGGTTATCTTAGGTGTCATTGGTGGTGACTGTT